ATAATCAAAATAAGCTGAATTCCCATATACTGTACTGTACATTGTAGAGTACAGGTGTACAATATTAATTACCATATAAGATGTGCATTTTGATAGTCAGAACTGAGGGAAAAACTTAACCTTCCCATTAAAGGAATCCTCCCAATACTGGACAGGGCTTGCACAAATTAATTCCATATTTGGATGGCTTACTGTACAACAAAGACTGCAATGAAACTTATTACAGATAGGACAAGTTGCATTAGCATACATAAATGCAGGCCAAGTCTGTAGAGCAGCTGGTTGGGCCAGTCACCTAACCTGGTTGTCACTGACTCCTTGCCTCCTAACTTAAAACTCATAAATTATGTTCACACTGAGCACTGATAAGTCATTAAAAAACCCAAGCAAAATCATGCGGACTGAAACAATTTCATAAAGAAGATACACATAACTAAACTACAGCAACTGTATGTGGTTCCAGGCCTAAGTGATAGAAAGTCATAACCAAAATTTACTCAATGTTTTATCTACAGTGCTACAACAGTAGATCATGCAAAACATTACCAAAACCTAATGTATTGAAGAATTCTTGACCAAAGTTATGTTTAATGTAAAAATATACTTAAATTTACTAAACAAAATGTCTCTTACTATTTGTGTTATCCTCAGAGTTCTATTAATATACAGTAATGTATACAGTACAGTAGTACCCCGATTTACATTGAACTCACAGGGTACCGCGGAAAGTGAAAACCGCGTAAAGTGAACAACAGAACATATGGGATTAATTCCAATAGACTGGCCCGACCCCCAAACTCCATTTTTTCAGACACAATACCTATGTTGTAGTAAAAATAACATCTAAATTTTATGATGGTATGCTCACACAATTAATAATTAAGAGAAATACAGTCGCCAGGTTTATGTCCATTCAAATAATGGACTCAAATCCACCCCCCCCCCTCTTCCCAGCTCACTAGCTCCTACCTCTCTGCGAAACAATTGGGTGAAAACACTACATTTTAACATTTAGTAATAAATAATACCTCAGACTAAAGTTAGGATAATATAATTGACATTTCTGGATTCCTTGCAGGTCAGGGAATATTTTGAATGTAAACTTCATATATTTTGCACAAAAGATAAAATATTTGCTTTGTGTAAACCAAATTATTACATTAGATCTAAAATTTGTATGTCTAATGCAAAATCCATGATGTTTATATTCAAAATGATCATCATATTGTAAGAATTCCAGCAATGTAAATTATATTCTGGCCGGGTAATTTGTATGAATTTTATGAGCTAAAACATATATCTGCAGTAAATAAACAAAGAAATATTCTTCAAGGACACTATCTGTCAATCAAAATACTCCGCCCTAGCTGGGTCGGTCCCTCCCTCCTTCCCTCCCTCCCTACCCCCCACCCCCCCTCCCTACCAGAGAAGCTTTGGGGGGTAAATAGTATTGTAGTGGACGTCTCCCCTACAACTGCGTAGCCACGCCACCACCTGCTATCACATTCCAACGTGCCGTTGCCTAGCAACGAAACTATTCACCGGCGACTTCTCGGGTTTTCCCAACATGACTCATAGCGGCTGCTGGGTATATAAGCTCTGTCTCTCCACTGAGATTCATTCTGACCATTCTTCTTGAACAAGCAACACCTCCTCCTCCGCCGCTGCCTGGCTGCCCCTAGCATCTCCTCGCCTGCCTGGCGGTCCTCACTCCCGCCAGCGAGCATGGCGACCCACCAGCTGTCCTCTGAGCCTCCTCACCAACCAACTCTCATTCTGCACCTCCAGCACCAGACTGTCTATCATATATCTCATAATATACAAGAAAACCACATTAAAGTTTCCTTCCATCCTGAGTGCTAGACAACATTAATATCTCGATACCCCTACAATGGTGACTCCCGGAAATTAGCACTCACACAGGATGGAGGAGACGCTGATCACGCTCCCAGTCTTCAAGCAGACACCGGCTCCTCTTCCTGCCTCACGCACCACATTCTGACGACCCCAGCACACCCATCCTGCCTCAGACGCCGACCCCGGCCCAGCAGTTCCTGCCGTGAGGGAAGCACACAACATCCATCGCCTCCACACCCCCTCTTTTCTCCCTCAGGTACTCCCTGCTAATGTCCTGCACCCTGCTGCTGTCGTGGACCCAGCTGCTGTCACGAGCCCTAATCCGCTTCTGCTGACGCAGCCCCTGCTCCTGACCCAGGCCCACACACACCCCAGCAGGCGCATCTGACGACCCTGTACCTGTCGTGAGGGAAGCACAACATCATCGCCTCCACACACCCTTTTTCTCCCTTCTCCCACAGATAGTGTGTATCTAGACAGTTGTATTTCAGCGATCGGCTCATCACGCCATCGCCGTTGTCTCACATGAGGCATGCACCGCCCGGTCTGCCTCACATGTGCTAAGCAACTCTACAATCAACAAGTCTCCTACACCGCCTGGAGGGAAGGGGGAGTATTGTAGTGGACGTCTCCCCTACAACTGCGTAGCCACGCCACCACCTGCTATCACATTCCAACGTGCCGTTGCCTAGCAACGAAACTATTCACTGACGACTTCTCGGGTTTTCCCAACATGACTCATAGCGGCTGCTGGGTATATAAGCTCTGTCTCTCCATTGAGATTCATTCTGACCATTCTTCTTGAACAAGCAACACCTCCTCCTCCGCCGCTGCCTGGCTGCCCCTAGCATCTCCTCGCCTGCCTGGCGGTCCTCACTCCCGCCAGCGAGCATGGCGACCCACCAGCTGTCCTCTGAGCCTCCTCACCAACCAACTCTCATTCTGCACCTCCAGCACCAGACTGTCTATCATATATCTCATAATATACAAGAAAACCACATTAGAGTTTCCTTCCATCCTGAGTGCTAGACAACATTAATATCTCGATACCCCTACAGTATATTTACATTTTTAGTAATAAATAATAACTCAGACTAAAGTTAGGATAATATAATTGACATTTCTGGATTCCTTGCAGGTCAGGGAATAATTTGAATGTAAACTTCATATATTCTGCACAAAGGATAAAATATTTGCTTTGTGTAAACCAAATTATTACATAAGATCAAAAATTTGTATGTCTAATGCAAAATCCATGATGTTTATATTCAAAATGATCATCATATTGTAAGAATTCCAGCATTGGAAATTATATTCTGGCTGGGTAATTTGTATGAATTTTATGAGCTAAATAAAAAAAAAATAAAAAAAAATTATACTTCACCGCGTATATGAGTAGATGCACCACGGAAAGTGAAAGTCCGGTTCTGGCAAGGTACCGCGTAAATGAGAAATCGCGGAAAGTGAAGCCGTGTAAAGCAGAGTAATACTGTATATGTAATTTATGATATGTTTTTACTTGTAGTGTACATTATTATACTATATGTGTGAGGAATTTCCAATAAAACCAGTCTATCAAACTAAAATAGGGAAGATTATTTTATAGTGTACAGTCAACCCTCACTTTACGCGGTCCCACATTCCGCGTTTCCACGTTTACGCGGTACCCTACCAGAACCCGGGATGCTCACATTCCACGGTGCGTGCGTGTACCCCTTTACACTGGTGAAGTATAATTTTTTTATTTAGCTCATAAAATTCATACAAATTATCCGGCCAGAATATAATTTACATTGCTGGAATTCTTACAATTTGATGATCATTTTGAATATAAGCATCATAGATTTTGCATTAGACATACATATTTTAGATCTAATGCAAGTATTTTGTTTACTCAGAGCACATATGCTATCTTTTGTGCAAAATATATGATGTGCATATTCAAAATATTCCTGGTCTTGCAAGGAATCCAGCAATGTCAATTATATTATCCTAACTTTAGTCTGAGGTATTATTTATTTCTAAAAGTTAAAATCTAGTTTTTTCACCCAACATTTCTCTGGTAGGGAGGGAAGGTGGGGGGTGGGGGGGGGGAGGGTTGGGACCGACCGACCATCTGGCTCGGTTGGAAGAGGGGGGGAGGCAAGGTGGGGTACTTTGATTGACAGATAGTGTCGTGAAGAATATTTTTTTTTTTATTAACTGAAGATATTTGTTTTAGCTCATAAAATTCATACAAATTACCCGGCCAGAATATAATTTACATTGCTGGAATTCTTACAATTTGATGATCATTTTGAATATAAACATCATAGATTTTGCATTAGACATACAAATTTTAGATCTAATGTAAGTATTTTGTTTACTCTGAGTAAATATGTTATCTTTTGTGCAAAATATATGACATTTATATTCAAAATATTCCTGGTCTTACAAGGAATCCAGCAATGTCAATTATATTATCCTAACTTTAGTTTGAGGTATTATTTATTACTATACCTTAGAATCTAGTGGTTCCCCCAAAAATTTCTCAGAGAGGGAAGAGCCAGCGAGTGTAGTGTGAGAAGAGGGGGAAGGAGTTGAGTCCATTATTTGAATGGACATTAACTTGGCGACTGTATTTCTCTATTTTTCTTAAGTATTAATTGTGTGCATGTACCATCATAAAATTAAGATGTTATTTTTACTAGAACATAGGTATTGTGTCGGAAAAAGTGGAGTTTGGGGTCAGCCGGTCTCTATTTCAATTAATCCCATATGTTATGTTGTTCACTTTACGCGTTTCTCACTTTACGCGGTACCCTGTGGGTTGAATTAACCGTGTAAAGTGAGGGTTGACTGTATTTTGTTTTGTTTTTAAATTAAAGGTACAGTTTGCAGAAATGGGTGAAAGACATCTAAGTTGAAGTTCTTAACTTTTTCCCCCATTGTCAATTAAATTTGTACTTTGCAGATTTGTGATTCACAAGGATTTCCAAGAATGTAAATCCCACAAACAGCAAGGCACTGCTGTGTTGATACCTTAAATGCCTCATACAGAATCAGGGAGCACACTCATGCAATCCAATACAATACTTAAGCCAGGCCCTCACATATGCTGTTTACATGGTCATAATTATGAGAATAAGAAAAATTTTACATACCATCAACTACCACACGTTCCTCTTGGAAAGTATGTTTGCCAGAATTCAACAGTTTATCCTTCAGTGCTGGATAACACGTCACACGTTTACCTTCACCAATGCCATGAGCAGTTAATGCAAGAGCTGGGGCTGAAAAGAAAAGGGGCTAAAATATATGTTGATCTTATAATAATATAGATTTTGATGTAGTTTATGTTATTCATTTATCAAAATCTTCCCCTACAACCAGAGTCAATGTTCCACACCCATATAATAGTGCCAACCCAATGATTACCCCATAAATCATCACATTTGTCTTCTTTAATAAGCATCCGTTCTCTCTCTCCCAAAATGTTTTAAAAACCTTTGTACGTACTTTCTTTCCCTACAGTACTTTGAGATTCACCACTACAGTACTTATTTCAACTGGTGACATGCCTGACCAAATATCTGAAACATTACATTTCCTTCAATCAAGCTAACAAACATTTCTCCCTGTATCCTGTATCTGTTTTTTTCATCACTTTTATTCACACTCCCTATTAACATTCTCCTAGTACTGTACACACAACTTCAAATGCATTCATTAATATGTTCCCACCTTTTTCTGAATCGCCCACTAGAGCAGTGTTACCCGAGAACAGCAACTATCTCACAATTCACTTGCATTGAATGATAATGGTCACAATGCACAGCCATGCTGTAAAGCTTTAAGAGGGAAAAACAATTTCTTCTTCCCCAAAAAAATCTTAATCTAGGCATTTTTCCTATAAAAACTCCAGACAGCATTTAACAACTTCACAGTACGGTAATGCAATTTTCCCAATATTTCCCCTATAACTTACTGTACCAATTAAATCTTTTTCCATAGCCACAAATGTTCATTCATTTACTTTGAGATATATATATATATATATATATATATATATATATATATATATATATATATATATATATATATATATATATATATATATATATATATATATATATATATATATATATATATATATATATATATATATATATATATATATATATATATATATATATATATATATATATATATATATATATATATATATATATATATATATATATATATATATATAATACTAGTGCTGTCTCCACTAGCTTAAAACCATCTAGCTGACACTAACTCAAGGATTACAGCATTATTACCTTTACAGGTAATACATAGAGTACTCACTGGAAAAAAGTAAGTCTACTAAGTACAGTACTGTACTGTATAAACTATCACAGGACAACTCCAGGAGGGCACATTGCACACGCACAAAGTAAAAGGACAACAGACTACGAACCTGAATTGAGCAGGTCAAGCTAGAGATCAGAGAAGTAGAAAGGCAGTGCACACTCCTATGGGCACCACCTTAAGTCTTTCCTCTGTAGCTATACTGGCCTTTTCCAGACAAAAATCTAGTACTCATCCCAATCTGCAGTGTACCATTGCCCTAAACAGTGGACCACTTCTAATAAACAAGTCTGAATTCTCCATTAATTGCAAAAGTTTTGCAGTCTTCAAGTGTCAGCTTTGCCAGAAGCAAACAGGGATCACCTGTAACCCTAAGCAAGAGCAATTGTGGATGCACAGACATTCACATCTCTGTATAATGTTTGGTTTTAAACACTACCAACTGCCAAACTGAATAATGGACAAGTTGTCATTCTTGTCATTATTAACCCAAATGTAGCTTAAGTAAGCTGTTAACCCAGTGGAAAAGTAATAGGCTACATATCAACCGAAGAAGGCTCCAGCAAAGGAAAGACCACAATGGGGAAAAAAAATGCAAAACATTTCAAAATTAAAACCCCACCAAAAAAGGGGGCCATAGATGTTACTTTAAAAGATTACATAAAGCCACCTTCACATACACTCTTTAACCCCTTCACTACAGAGATGCCATTTTTAATACAGTAATGTATTTCGCTAACACCAGACGATTCTATTCAGCAGAGGGGACCCTGTACACAAGTGGTTAATTAGGATTTCCATTGTTAATTGTTGGTAAAATAAAATACAGTATCAGGAAAGCTGTGGTTTATGACTTCATACGGGGGTAAATGAAGGAATTATATAATTTTACACAAATCATAGCACTAAAATCTTTCTGTTGAAGGTTTTGTCTTCTACTACAAAGGAATTTCACTGCTATGGGGGTAAGAGTACATCAATGGATTCCAAACTGGGTGGTATTACCACTAATGGAACAATGGCAGCTTTGATTTGTGATGGAAAGGTCAGAAATTCATCTATTCATGAATTTTTAAAATGTACCTACAACTTATCATAATACTGCACACTATTTTCCCTTCAGTTTCTTATGAGGTTTTCTGTTGTATTTTCAATGTGAATTTCTCAAACTTTATTTACTGTCTCATAAATTTAAGACTGACCAGGTTGTGAGTACAGGTACAGTACTGTAATATGAACCCAAGATAATCCTGGAGCAGGTGGCTAACACGAGAACGCATTGTTTAATTTCGTTCATATTTTACTCGGATGTTCTTTGGATGATAGCAATAAAAATGATATGACAATGGACAGAACCTAATATAACCCAACAAAAGAAACCTACCTAACTTCCTAGCCAGGAGCCTGTATATTCCCTTTATGTTTGCCCTTAGGACAATTATTTCTTTTACCTGTATTGTATATGTGTATGTAGACACACACACACACAAACACATGCTATAAGAACAACCCAGTCACAACCATTATAAAAATTATCAACAACTCGTAATCAACCAGTGTATGTATTCACTCCCAACCAATCTTACCTCTTTGCACTGTCACTATGTTGAAATGTGCTGTAATATAACCTTCTCCCCACTTACTTATTATACAGTGCTATAGTACTGTATATCATATTTCTATCGCTTATGTTATTTTCAATCAAGTGGCCCATTCCCCCAATTAACTGTACTGTATATATATTTACAGCCTTCCGGCTGCCATACTCTTTCAATAAACCGTTAATTATTATTATTATTATTATTATTATTTAAATGCATACAATAATAATGGGGAAATCCTCTCACAAATAATGTAATGAGAAACACAACAACAAAATGTATGTAAATCGATGTAGGACCTTTAATGCTAGACGCGATTGTATTTTTGAAAACTCAATTTCCACCGAGTTGGAGGTACAGCCAGGGTCACAGGCCTATAACCACACAATCACTGCCACATGACAAAGCTTTTATTTTATTTTATTTTTTTAAGGTGTTGTGGTCACGGCTGTGATAAAGGCCAACCCGGGAGTGTAGTACTGTGATTTTAGGTAAACCAGTTCATAGTGTCATCAGTGACCGCAGAAGAGACTGTAAATAACTTAAAGTGAATACATATTGGCAATCAAGCTGGTAAGGACTACTGCCAGTCTATTCGTGTCATAGGTGCCACAGAGACTTTAAATTATATTTTGTTTGTGTGCTTTCTCAAGGACTGAAACTGTGTTTATAATACACCACTCACAGGGAGATACAGTGTACACAGTGATAGTTCATAGTGTCATCAGTGACCGCGGAAGTTGCAAATAACTTAAAGTGAGCGCTCACTAGCAAGCAAGCTGGAAAGGCACCGTGCCAGCTGAAACCAAGTCGTGTCATGGGTGCTCTATGTTTGTCTTTGGTACCCCCAAAAATGTTCTACACTACTGAGGGTATACACAAACACTTGTTATCTTGAAAATAGGTTCTTATTCTCGTACGGGAGATGAATATAGATGGACAAAGAAACTCGCTTCCACACCATAAGGACTGGTGATCTCCACTCTCTGTATCACTGCACGCTGGCATGTACAGATGCCAGCATTCACAAGCTGAATACATAAAATGTAAATATGATAATTCACATACATAACATGGTGCATAATAAATGGAAATATTACATAGGATTAATACATGTTCTGTAATACCTTACTATACATAATTAATAGAGTAATATAAGAATACACAGCTTAAGGTACTACTTCGTGTCCATATTATACAGGTGCCACAGAGACTTTAAATTTTATTTTGTTTGTGTGCTTTCTCAAGGACTGAAACTGTGCCTACAATACACCATTCACAGGGAGATACAGTGTACGCAGTCGCAGACGACAACTCTATAGGCAACAGAGAGTAGCTAAGTACTTTTTCTCTCTTTACCTCAATAAATAGGTGTAGATCTATACACAGACTGCACTTCCACAACAACAACAACCATGAGTTTGAAATGTGATTACTGCAGGGAGACGTCCGATATAGAGGATACAGGCCTGACTAATGCACAGTTTAGGAAGTTACTAACTGCCGTAAAGCATAATGGCTGTTGCTGGTATTGCCCTGGCTGCATAGTCAAGGTGAATGAAGCAATTGCAAGCCATAAGGGAACGAGTTCTCTAGGGACGAAAATAGATGAAGATGGAGCCCTGCTGGTTGACAAACTGGAGCAAGTTGGGAAAGAGATCCTTGCTAAGACTGAGGAAGTAGCTGAGAGAATGGAGTTGATTGCTAAGAGGAGTTATGCTGACGTATTAGGAGGGCCACGGGAGGGGGCGGAGAGTAATGCAGGATCAGTACAGGTTCTACAACAGCTCGGGACTTTGAAGAAGTGTGTCGAAGAAATGAAAATTAACGGACCTACTGTTAGGGGAGAGGAGGAACACCAGGAACGGCTCCAGCGCAGGAACAATGTAATAGTTTTTGGAGTCCCAGAGAACCAGGCGGAGGGAACTGTGAGTAAGGAAACACACGATAAGGTGCTGTTTCAAAATATTTGCACAGAGGTTCTGAAGAGTCCATCAACCCCTCAGGATGTGAGGAGGCTGGGACAAAAGCAGGGGGCTAAGCCTCGCCCCCTCAGGATCACACTAGTGAGTGAAGAGGAGAAATGGCAGGTTATTCGGCAGGCAAAAAACTTAGCAAGGAGCGAGGCATTTCGGGATGTATTCATTCACCCAGACCGCATGGTAATGCAGAGGGAACAGCACAAGAAGCTCCTGCAGGACTTGAAGCAGAAGAGGGAAGAGTCGAGGAGGAACGGGGACAGGTGTACATGGGTTATACTCAGGGGGAGGGTAGTGGAAATAAGTGTGCCGACACAGGGCCAGGGGGCAGCAGTGCACCCTCCACCCACTCAACCCCCCACCCGGGAGGCGGCACCAGCTCAGCCTACCGGACAGGAGGGGGCGAGCGCCGTGTAAACAATGACATTTCTGACCACACCCTGCAAAATACTGTGTACTTAGCAAATGCTGCAGCTTCTGAGAATGGGGGGGGAGCGGGTTTATTACTAAGAGCAGAGACGTTACCGAGAACAAATTCTGGTTTGAACGTCATGTACACTAATACTGACACATTCCTTGATAAGAGAGAGGAGTTTGAAACACTACTAAGAGTACACCAACCAGATATTGTAGGAGTTGTAGAACTGTTGTACAAGAACAGGAGAATCGACCCAGAGGAATGTGAGTTCAGTATTGCTGGATATGACTCATTTACGAACCTATCTCAAGAAACTTGCAAAAGGGGTGTGGTTATCTACGCTAGGCAAGACCTTAGAGCCAGCCAGGATGTTTTTGAAGAGTCCAAGTGGTGTAAAATTAAATTAAAGGGAGGGGACTTACTTATCGTCGGGTGTATCTACAGATCCCCAAACTGTGGCCCACTAAATAAAAGGAACTTAAGAACCTTAATAAACAATGCGGTGATGCTCAACCCTAGCCACCTCCTTATCATGGGGGACTTTAACTATGGCAACATCAACTGGAGAAACGAGTCCTCCCCAAATGACTTGAATAACCCTGCTACTCTTTTCGTAGAAACTCTTGAGAGATAATTTTCTGTTCCAACATGTTAGAGGCCCAACACATTACAGAGGGGAGCAAACACCCAAGCCAATTGACCTCATCATAACAAACGAGGAGGGTATGGTGGCCAAACTGGAACACCTTGCCCCAGTTGGCACCAGTCACAATACAGTGTTGTCATTCAGATTTAACTGTTACCTAGTTCAAGATAAGGCCAGGCCAAGGTGCAAATATTACAAGGGAAATTACAATGGGATGAGGGAAGAGATGAGGGGTATCAACTGGCCTGACTTATTAAGGTACAAGAACGCAGACACTACGCTGAAAATCATAACTAGTAAAATGACCCATTTGATCGATAAATATATACCCAGGACCAAACCCAGTGCTTCTAGGAATACGAGGGGATCACTACACATGAACCATGCGGCGGTCGACAAAATTAAGAAGAAAACCCAGAAATTCAATACGTGGGTTGGGTCAAACGATGAGCAAGACAGGAGGATGTATGCAAGAGCCAGAAAACAAGCAAAGATAGAGTGTAGGAGGGCTGAAAAGGAGTTCCAGAGGTTGGTTGCAAGTGAGGTCAAGTGAAACCCAAAGGCGTTTTACCGCTATGCAAAGTCGAAATTGAAAACGCGAGTAGGAGTATCAGACCTGAGGCTGGTGGATGGTAGTTACGCAGATTCTGACCAGGATAAAGCTGAGGCATTGAACAGCTTCCTTTCCTCAGTGTTCACAAGAGAGGATGCAACTAACCTTCCTGCGTTTGAGGACAGACGATTCGACACAGCACTGACCCACATTGTGTTCACAGAAGAGGGTATTAGAAATAAACTGTCCAGGCTAAAGGTCCATAAGAGTCCCGGCCCGGACATGGTGCATCTTAGAGTGCTAAGAGAGTTGTGCAACGAGCTTGCAGAGCCCCTGAATATCCTGTTTTGTAAATGCCTGGATGAACAAATGGTCCCCAGTGAATGGGAAGTGGCTTATGTGAGTCCTATCTTCAAGAAGGGCGATCGTCACTCCATGAACAACTATAGACCGGTGAGCCTGACCAGCATAATATGTAAAGTACTTGAGAGTATTATCAAAGATGCCGCAATGAAACATCTAATACGAAACAACCTTGTAAAAGATTGCCAACATGGTTTTATGCCGGGGTGCTCTTGCTTAACACAATTGCTCAATGTATTGGATATTTGGACCCATATTCTGGAACGGGGTGGTAATATCGACAATATTTACCTAGATTTTGCCAAGGCTTTCGACAGTGTACGCCACAAAAGGCTGAAAATCAAACTGGAAGGGTACGGAATTCGGGGAAATGTCCTAGCGTGGATAGAAGACTTTCTACATGACCACAAGCAGTGTGTGGTGATTAATGGCACGAAATCGTCATCTGTACCTGTAACAAGTGGGGTACCACAGGGCAGTGTATTGGGCCCGCTGTTGTTTGTTTGTTTGTTTCATAAATGACATGCCTGACGTTGTACACTCCTCCATACAAATGTTTGCCGATGACGCCAAGTTATTTCGGGAAATTAAAAACCAAGCGGACTGTGAAGAGCTGCAGAAGGACCTCTGTGGGCTCCAGGAATGGTCGAAGAAATGGCTGCTGAGATTCAATGTCACGAAGTGTAAGAGGATGCACCTGGGGCGTACCAACGGTGAGGAGGCGTATCATATGTCCCAACGGGATGGAGAAACTGCACTAGTTGAGACTGTGTGTGAGAAGGACCTAGGTGTATATGTTGACAATGAGCTGAAGTTCTCGGGCCATTGTGAGAAGAAGGTAAATCAGGCAAATAAATTATTGGGTCTTATAAGAAGGTCGTTCAGATATCTAGACGGTCCGTCCCTCGTAACGATCTTCAGGAGTGAAGTGCTTCCCCATCTGGAGTACTGTCACCCCATCTGGTCCCCGAGATATGCTAGGGACTGTCAGTTGGTTGAAAATGTTCAAAGGAGGGCCACCAGACTGGTGCCTGCACCTCAGCTACCCTGAGAGATTGGAGCGCCTGAACTTGCCTAGCTTATACTACAGACGGGCAAGGGGAGACCTAGTTGAGGTGTATAAGTATCTCAGGGGGCACTACTCAGTTGAGTGTCCTTACTTGGAGCTGGCGGACGCTAGCCCCACAAGGGGTCACAGCTCAAGATTGAAGAAGCCGCAAGTCCAGAAAACCGTGAGGGCAAACTTTTTCGGAGTGAGGGTTGTAAACTCTTGGAACAATCTACCGGAGAGTGTTGTGACGGCACCGAGTGTGAGCTCTTTCAAAACAAGACTTGACCAACACTGGAGCGGGTTCAGGTACATTCAGGAGCCGGTGCACGCCCAGTATTTGCCAACAGTGCGTGACAGAGACGTGACCGATTGCCCGGGCGGCTAGCGAGCCGATCTTTTGGTGAAGAAGATAAATGAAAAGAGACGTGTCCGATCGCCCAAGCGGCTAACAAGCCGATCAGTGGTGAAGAGGATAAAAGTAAAAAAGTAAAAAATAAAAAATGCGAGTCTACCCTCAGGTCAACTCCGTGCTTTGTTATTAGAGTCGAGTTGGTCGAGTTGCCATACCGCCAGCACCAGCTGGGTTGATACATACAGTAGATCAAGCTTATAGAATTTCTTTCGTAGTCATCTAGCCAATCCAACATGAAGGATGTCAGTAATTATGGTGTAATACTGCATACCTTTTCACTATGTATGTAGGATGGTGTGCGCATGTAAATGAGTAAAAAAAATGAAGGTTACGCATATCTACCAAAAAATACGAGTTGAAAAAAAAACATGACTCCTCACAGCTTGGCCAGGACAGTAGTCTGGTGGTTACAATGATGAGCTAACCTAGCTACAATGACATGATTAATCACTGTTAAGCACTATATCGGTAAACGTGATTAATAACAGTAAATCAGGTGAAAATTGCCGGGAGTGAGGAGTTACAACTGCAGACGATGTGCTAACCAGCAGTCACTCCTTTCATCCGCTCCCGTTGTCAGGCATAAGTATGGGAGACATACATGACCTCCTTTTCTCTCTTCACTTGTTTGGGTGCCTTCCTACAGCTGGGTGAAGGTGGTTGAGGGCGTTTGGGAACTATCACAAGGACGAGGAGCACAGTTGTTACGAGAGTAGAGTAGCACACGCACGAGACGGACAAGTGTTTATCCCGAAAAAGCGCGTGGGCCAGCCTCCCGGGACAAGACACACACCTTGAGGGATGCCACAAAACTCGAGCGTTCCCCGTACCGGCCGCGAAAATGCCAGCAACTATAAAACTACCCACAGATATTCTTGGGTATATCCAGGGTGTCATCCACGAATAATAGAGGACCGCGATATAAAACACTGTGAATTATCCGGGCATGCTGTATTGCTAATGATATAATCTGACAAATTGACAACGAACTCACCAGCACAAATTGCACCAATCACTCTGCCAGCTTTTTCTTGTTCAGCCAAAATGGACTTCACAGCAGAGCTCTGTTGATAAATTAATGAACCTGATATTACTGTGATTGCCTTCATTCATATACCAGTACCCCAACTTCCTTTAACTCTTAAACTTCCATTTAAAATTCTATAAAGAGAATAATGTCTGCAAATAAATGAAACAGCACTGGTACAGAGACCACCCTGTCTCTTACTTCTGTCATGCTGTTGATCTGAAAATATTAGGGCCCATGGTTTTATATAAGATATTATTTAATAAAGACTATTTAAGCACTCCTCAAATCTGAGAGCAATACAGTACAGTACAGTACACTAATGGACAGTTTCCTAAAGGGCAAGTACTGTATTGGAGTTGAAGTGAACTGGATTATTTTACAAATAAATAAGGAAAATTAAGCAAAGTTTCTTTAAGTATTTCTGGCAAATTTAGTTATTGTTATGTGTGATTTTGATATTATAAGAATCTTGTACTTTTTTAATGCGAATATGGAAAGAGCTACAAGGATGTTTCTCATGACAATTGATGGAAAGTTTTCTTGCTTGCTTTGCTATTAGAAGTCATAACCTTTGTAATGTTTAAATCACCAAATGATACCAAACACCCTAAAAGATTCTCGAGACAAAAAAATAATAGGTGGTCCCAGGGTTACGAACGGGTTCCGTTCCTGAGGACGTTCTTAAATCGTAACACATGCGATGTGCACATCATACTTACAGAACAATGTTTAAAATCCCACTATATCATAGCTTAAATCCTTATATACAGTACATTTAAAATCATTTAATTTAAGACAAAGAAGAAATAGAATGGCAAAATACAGTAAATGAAAGTAAAAAATAAGTCATCAGGTAAATAAAATACTGAAATTTCAAGTTTAACCCAGTTCGTAAGTCGGGGACCCCCTGTACTGTACAGTACTGTATGTTCATACGTAACACACACACACACACACACTAACAAATATTTTGTGTCAGTGCTTTCATATGTAAGGATATTTCCCCTTGCTATCTTTTGAGATGGAGAGTAAATTATTCCTGATATATTATAGTGTTCTCATTTCTATTTGCATATAATTTTACAAAGACAATACATGATAAAAATTATTCAACAGTGGTAAGATTGTTACCCCTACCTGTGCCAAACTTTCAGATCCCTTTAGACCCCCTGGGAGAACTACAGCATCATATGGGCCTTTAGTTACAGCATCATCAAGGGAAGCATCTGGCTGGATCACAACATCTCTGCTGCAGCATACAGGAGCAGCACCAGTCAACCCTGCCACTGTTACAGTAACCTGGAAAGTTAATTAGCTGTTTTTAGTTGTGCCAACAAGAGCAACTCTAAAAGACCACTTAGTCTCTGAAGGAGTTTTTTGGGGTAAAATTTTCCTTACAATCCATAATCGCTTTGATAATTAAAATAAGGTTAATATAGACAACTTCACTTATGACATGTTATTTGTTTTGATGTTTATATTCTTAATATATTTTCATCAGTGAAATCTGATATGATTATCAACTTTTTGGAAATTGCTTCGCTTGGTAGATAATTAGGCGTCTTAGGCACGCACCACTTTATCTGGCACGCACTACTTTGTCTGGCGCACACTAGTAATTTGTCTGGCGCACACTACTAATTTGTCTGGCACACACCACTACTTTGTCTGGCGCACACCACTACTTTGTCTGGCACACACCACTACTTTGTCTGGCACACACCACTAATTTGTCTGGCACACACCACTACTTTGTCTGGCGCACACAACTACTTTGTTTGGCGCACACAACTACTTTGTCTGGCGCACACTACTACTGTACTTTGTCTGGCGCACACCTATTACTTTGTCTGGCACACACCACTACTTTGTCTGGCACACACCACTACTTTGTCTGGCACACACCACTAATTTGTCTGGCACACACCACTACTTTGTCTGGCGCTTGCACTACTGCTATACTTTGTCTGGCACACACCACTACTTGATCTGGCACACAACTACTTTGTCTGGTACACTACTACTGTGCTTTGTCTGAGCACACCACTACAGTACTGTCTGCTATACACTACTACTTTGTCTGGCGCACACTACTACTTTGTCTGGGCGCACACAACTACTTTGTCTGGTAGCACACTACTACTGTCTAGCGCACACTACTACTTTGTCTGGCACACACCACTACTTTGTCTGGCACACACCACTACTTTGTCTGGAGCACACTACTACTTTGTCTGGCACACACACTACTTTGTCTGGCACACACCACTACTTTGTCTAGCGCACACTACTACTTTGTCTGGCACACACCACTACTTTGTCTGGCACACCCTCTTTGTCTAGGCGCACACTACTACTTTGTCTGGCACACACACCACTTACTTTGTCTGGCACACACCACTACTTTGTCTAGCGCACACTACTCTTGTGGCACACACCACTACTTTGTCTGTAGCACACTACTACTTTGTCTGGCGCACACTATTACTTTGTCTGGCACACACCACTACTTTGTCTGGCACACACCACTACTTTGTCTGGCACACACCACTAATTTGTCTGGCACACACCACTACTTTGTCTGGCACACACCACTACTTTGTTTGGCGACACAACTTACTTTGTTTAGGAGCACCTGACTACTTTGTCTGGAGCACACTACTACAGTACTTTGTCTGGCCACACCACTACTTTTCTGGGCGACACCACTACTTTGTCTGGCGACACCTCTACTTGTCTGGGCGCACACCACTACTTTGTCTGGCACACACCACTACTTTGTCTGGCACACAACTCGTCTGCACACACACAACTACTTTGTCTGGAGCACACCACTACTTTGTCTGGCGCACACCACTACTTTGTCTGGGCGCACCACTACTTTGTCGCGCACACCACTACTTTGTCTGGCACACACCACTACTTTGTCTGGACGCACACAACTACTTTGTCTGGCGCACCACTACTGTCTGGCCCACCACTACTTTGTCTGGCGCACACCACTACTTTGTCTGGCACACACCACTACTTTGTCTGCACACCACTACTTTGTCTGGCACACACCACTACTTTGTCTGGCAGCACACCACTACTGTCTGGCGCACACCACTACTTTGTCTGGCACACACCACTACTTTGTCTGGCCACACAACTACTTTGTCTGCACCACTACTTTGTCTGGCACACACCACTACTTTGTCTGATGCACCAACTACTTTGTCTGGCACACACCACTACTTTGTCTGCCACACCACTACTGTCTGGCACACACCACTACTTTGTCTGACCCTTACAACTACTTTGTCTGGCACACACCACTACTTTGTCTGGCCTTACTAACTACTTGTCTGGGCGCACACTACTACTTTGTCTGGCACACACTACTACTTTGTCTGGACGCACACTACTACTTTGTCTGGCACACACCACTAATTTGTCTGGCACACACCACTACTTTGTCTGGGCACCACTACTTTGTCTGCACTACTACTTTGTCTGGCACACACCACTAATTTGTCTGGCACACACCACTACTTTGTCTGGCACACACCACTATTTGTCTGGCACACAACTACTTTGTCTGGCACACACCACTACTTTGTCTGGCCTTCACAACTACTTTATCTGGCACACACCACTACTTTGTCTGGCACACACCACTACTTTGTCTGCGCACACAACTACTTTGTCTGGCACACACCACTACTTTGTCTGGCACACAACTACTTTGTCTGCTACACCACCTACTTTGTCTGGCACACACCACTACTTTGTCTGGCCTTGCTACTTTGTCTGGCACACACCTACTTTGTCTGGCCAGCACAACTACTTTGTCTGGCACACACCACTACTTTGTCTGGCACACACCACTTTGTCTGGCACACACACTACTTTGTCTGGCACACCACAACTACTTTGTCTGGCACACACAACTACTTTGTCTGGCACACACAACTACTTTGTCTGGCACACACCACTACTTTGTCTGGCACACACCACTACTTTGTCTGGCACACACAACTACTTTGTCTGGCCACACACCACTACTTTGTCTGGCACCACTAATTTGTCTGGCCACACACCACTACTTTGTCTGCACACACCACTACTTTGTCTGGCACACACCACTACTCTTTGTCTGGCACACACCACTACTTTGTTCCACACACCACTACTTTTTGTTCAGACAATTACCATTTTGTCTGGCACACCACTACTTTGTCTGGCACACACCACTACTTTGTCTGGCACACACCACTACTTTGTCTGGCACACACTCACTACTTTGTCTGGCACACACCACTACTTTGTCTGGCACACACTACTACTTTGTCTGGCACACACCACTAATTTGTCTGGCACACACCACTACTTTGTCTGGCACACACTAATTACTTTGTCTGGCACACACCACTACTTTGTCTGGACGACACAACTACTTTGTCTGGCACACACCACTACTTTGTCTGACGACACTACTACTTTGTCTGGCACACACCACTACTTTGTCTGGCAATACCACTACTTTGTCTGGCACACAACTACTTTGTCTACACACTACTATTTTGTCTGGCACACACCACTACTTTGTCTGGCGACACTACTACTTTGTCTTCGCATACCACTACTGTACTTTTGTCTGGCGCACACTACTACTGTGTACTTTGTCTGGCGGACACTACTACTTTTGTCTGGCACACACCACTACTTTGTCTGGCACACACCACTACTTTGTCTGGCGCACACCACTACTTTGTCTGGACACACACCACTACTTTGTCTGGCACACACCACTACTTTGTCTGGCGACACTACTACTTTGTCTGGCGACACTACTACTGTACTTTGTTCAAGACACTACTACTTTGTCTGGCACACACAACTATCTTTGTCTGGCTTATTACACTACTTTGGTTCGGCACACACCACTACTTTTGTCTGGCACACACCACTACTTTGTCTCACACACACCACTACTTTGTCTTTGGCGACACTACTACTTTGTCTGGCGACACTAATATTGCATTTTGTCTGGCGACACCACTACTTTGTCTGGCGACACCACTACTCTTTGTCTGGCACACACCACTACTTTGTCTGACGTGACACAACTACTTTGTCTGGCACACACCACTACTTTGTCTGGCACACACCACTACTTTTTGTCTGGCACACACAACTACCTTTGTCTGGTGCACACTACTACTTTGTCTGGCGACACTACTACTTTGTCTGACGACACTACTACTTTGTTCGGCGACACTACTACTGTACTTTGTCTGGCGACACTACTGCTGTCTGGCGCACACAACTTTACTTTGTCTGGCGACACTACTACTTTGTCTGGCTGACACTACTACTTTGTCTGGCGACACTACTATTTTGTCTGGCACACAAACTACTTTGTTCTGATACTCACTACTTTTGTCTACACTACTACTTTGTTCCTGCACACTGAGGTAAAAATTTACCTATTATTTTATTATGATTGTTATTCATTTGTATTGATTATTATTATTTTATTATTTTATACTTTTGTCCCCCAGGTTTTGACGAGGTCATTATAAATGACCTGAGTCTGGACATAATACCATAAAAAAAAATAAATAAATAAATAAAATAAAATAAAGATACTGTAAATATACAGTACTAGAAAATCTCCCTAAACTACAACACCAAATTATGCCTTAGCACAACAATATTTTTTACTTAATATACTGTATAGAAGTCACCAACACCTTATATATCGAGTCTTATATAGGAGAAAGAGAAAAGGTAAATTTATTATAATAGCCAGGTTTTGATATTTCCACAAAAATTAAGCTTTCCCTATGATTCTTGTTGTGATTTGAACACATCTGACCTTCGTTTCTGGTGCTAACTGCCCGTTTTCGAGTTAAGCCCCCTCTCCCATGACAGGGATGAGGGAAGGACTTAACCTAACCATAAAAACCATGAAAACCTGACCTCAGACCCCCCCCTCAATGTTGATCACGTTCTTACTTTAGAGGCTGGCGTTGATATCATCATGTGACACATCTGGCTGTGAGAGTGGCCTGTAGCCTGATGCTATATCTCCATTATTTCTCATCAACACAGAAAGTGTCATAGAAGAAATTATTTATTTTTGTTAGGTAATGTGGCTGCAAACTATAAATTAATGTGGCTGCAAACTATAAATTATCAGAATTCAAAACCATTATCCTAAATTGACCAAGAAAAAATTTAAATCATTTATTCTACGTACAGTATAGTGTTTCCATCGGAAATTAATATTTTATAGTATTTTAACCAATAAATTACCATTAATAGTAGCTGAAGTACAGGAAAAATGTGGGGTAAAATACTTAAAAGAAAAACCAAACAAACCTTTGAAAACATTACCTAACGTTTCCTAACTTGTAAAAATGTTAAGAATCGCTGTAGTTTATGGATCCCTCCTCATCTGGACACCAAAAACAACACCAACATATACTAAAAACTGAAAACATGAATATGGTAAACTTTTTATAGTTTTAGGATTTTTAAAGATTAGGAAACATTAGGTCAGGTTTTCATAATTTTGTTTTTTTTTATTTTATTTTTTATTTTGTATTTACCCCACATTTTTCCTCTACTTCAGAGCCCTGCCCACTTTGACCAAGTAATATTGTTGGTAATTTTTGGGGTTAAAATACTCAAAAAATATAAATTCTTGAAGGAATCGCTATAGAATAATGTTTTTTTCTTTCCCTAAAAATGACTTGATTTATATAAGTAGGTTTTGGCAACTTCTAAATACTGTAACTACTTATTTTTCTTCTATGATGTTTCCCTTGCAAATGACCTAATTTAACCCAGGGGTTCCACCCCCTGGACCCCCCTGGCATATACTGTATAAGTCATTTGCGAAGTAAACGTCATAGCAGAAAAGTGTCTTAGAATTGTCTAAACTATTGATTGCAACCATAAAATTCAAAAAATTTAATACCAGGTGACTTATGCAATAATACCTCGTCCAAGTTGTTTGCAAGAGAAACGTCTTAGAATTGTCTAAACTATCGGGAAAACACGTTAATAATTATCAATGCAATTATGGACTGAAAAGAATATATCTTTGGTAAATATTCGTCCTTTGGCTGTCCTCAGGCTTTTATACAAGAATAGGGTTTTTGGTATATATTTTATGGAGTGTTTTACTCAAACCTGATTGCCATTTTGGTGCAAATTAGCCGTTTCTGTTACAAATGAAAATGTAATATTTAAAAAAATGCTAATTTGCATCAGAAATAAAGATCAGATTTGAGTAAAGCACACCATAATACACCAAAAAGCCTATATTTTTACAAGTAGACAACCAATGAACCTCTAGGTTAGATTACGTTACGTTGTTGATTTGTTAGGATATGTTAGCTTTGGTGCTTTTTGGTTGTTGAGCAATGTGTTTTTCCCATGTTAAAATCCATGGTTGTCCACTTTTAAAAATTTAACCTTATTTTTTGTATAAAAACTTGGACAGCCAATGGACGAATACTGTATTAACCATTTTTTTTATATTCTGTGTCTGTAATATTGAAAATTGGGTTAATATATAGGACTAACCCACGGACGAGTTACTGTATTTGTATTACTGTTTATTTTCTTACTTTATTTTCATTGGTGAGTTCTGATATGGTAATCATTTTTTGTGCAAATGTTTTGATTTGTAGATAATTAGGCACCTAGGCATGCACTAATTTGTCTGCCTGGTATTGAGGCCGCCGCCTCCGCTTCGTTTCTGGGTTCGCGGCAGTTTCATTTTCAGCCTGACGTAGAAGGTTGTCGCTAGTCTAATATGCACGTAATTTGCGAATTTAGGGATAAAGACGAGACCCTTCAATTGTTCAAAGACCACGGCATTGTTCCTTTAAATAAAGACTGTCCACACTGTGGGAATTCCTGTGCTTTCAGATCAGAAAGAAATTTGTTCAACACTTCCTCAACACCGTGGCTCGACGTTTCCCACTATCACAATAAATCACTCCGGAGCCTGGGCTGCATAAGCCCCAATGCGGCCGTATCAACACACATCCAGTAAATGCCTCAAATTTCACCATATCACAAGTAAGTTCTTTCTGTTTAATATACCGGGGAAGTTAGGTAGGTTTGTTTGGTTTGGTTGGTATCTGTTCTTCATACCCACAAATGTTAAGTAGCATTTATCTAAAAAAATATCCATTTTTAACATATTTCCACACACTACAACAGTGTCCACTATAATATAACAATGAAAATCCAACGTTTTTATAATTGTTTTCAATCAATTTCGCTCGTGGGTTAGTCCAATATAATTACCTGGGTTGGTTTTTCATACCTATAAATGGGGAGGTGGAAGTGCAAATTTACCAAAACCGTACGGTAGGTAAACCAATCACACATATGACCTAGAAGTATATGCCAAATATCGCCAAGTGTTCTGGGAACTTTGTTCCCAACTGTACATAATAAACTTGCAACTTGCATGGCGAAGTTAAAATGGCCGGCCTAACCCAGTACTCACTCCGCCCTCCCAGTGTGTCAATGGTGATGACAGCTTCCATTTCCTCAGCCCCCTCAGCCAGGAGCACGATAGCAGTCTTGCTCGCCATATTTTATCTTATATTTCTTACGATAAAGATTGCTAAGAGACAAGTTAAGAAGACACCTCGTCACCTTCAGCTGCAAACTGCTAAGCTGACTCAAGTACGCAGTGTTGCCAGGTCTACTCGGCCAAATTTCCCTAGCAAAGCCCTCAATTTTTTTCTTTTTTGACCTGAAATTTCTCTAGGTCGCCTATTCCCAGTCCCCAAGAAAGGCAGCGACAAATTAAGGTGGATTTTGGAACTTTCAATCCCAAACAAATTTATTCCCAAAAGAAGTTTCAAGACGCTCACTTACGACCATCTGAGGCATCTAATTCCGCCCAATGCTTGAATCTCAAAAGTGGATCTCGAAGATGCCTATTATCACGTTCCTGTTGCTCCCAGGTACAGAAAATTTCTGGTGTTCAAAGTACGGGAATTAAGTTATCAATTCACAGTGATGCCATTCGGTCTGACAATTGCACCATAAGTCTTTACAAAACTGGCAAATATTCCCAGAAAGATCCTTGCAAAGAAGGGCATAAGAACCTTTGCTTATCTAGACGATTGGCTGATAATGGGGAACTCTTTCGAAGATTGTCAAAGGGCGACCCAACGTACACTAGTACTATTTCAAAACCTTGGTTTAAAGATAAACAAGGTAAAATAAAATTTAATACCATATCAAAAGTTAGATTGGTTAGGCTGTGGGAACGTTATGTTTGGGTTCACACTGAGGATGGGATGGAGAAAGGAAACTCACAATGTGCTCTGTATACATGTTGTATTGGATGTACAGTGCAGCTTGGTGCTGGGAAGGCAGCATGGTTACAAGCGTTGAGTAGAGAAAGCTGGTTGGTGAGGGTGCTCAGAGGAGGACAGCTTGTGGGTCGCCATGCTCGCCGGCGGGAGAGAGGACCGCCAGGCAGGCGGAAGAGGAGGAGGTGTTGCTTGTTGTAGGTCGAAAGAGAGAGGTAGGTCACCACGAGGTCAGGTCTTATATAGCGGAGGTAGGCGTGGCTTAATAGTTGACCTCCGTCATGTAAGGCGGCGCTGGTTGACCTAGACCACAAGGCATACACTGGGTAATTCGCGGGGTCGGCTACTCAGCGACAAGCGTTTAGGGGAGAGAAATTCACTACAAGGCCTTCACTGGGATACAAATCAGCAGTCAGTCAGTTTACCAGGAACAAAAGTAACAGATTTGATAAACAAAGTAGAAGCCTTTTGTGTAAAGCACAAGGTTTCTTGGCACGATTGGGAAAAACTTCTGGGTCTGTTGAACTACAGACGGGCAAGGGGTGACCTAATTGAGGTGTATAAGCATCTCAAGGGGCACTACTCTGTCGAGTGTCCTTACTTGGAGCTGGTGGACGCTAGAGTGGCGTATTTTATGTCGTCCGTGGGGGTATCCATGAGTTTCTGATCGCGTCTGAAGTTATATCATTTGTTGCCCCGACATCAGAGAATCTGATGTTTATAGTTTAATTAGTGTCAGTTGTCTATTTGAGAAAGTCATTAATCTCCTGAACTATTCTGTCAACTGGTATAATCTCCAAGATCTAGCGCCTCCCCGTGACGAGCTCCTTGTTTCGTCTCAGGCCTGAGCTTGCAGAATTAATGTTATCGACGTGTATATTCCACCTTTTCCTGGCAAGCTCAACCTCTGATTAGATTATATGAATAGACATATAGGAAATTACCGACTCAAGAACACCGGAGTTCATAACTAAGTATACAGTGATCCAAAATGATAGAGAAGTTTTGTTGTTGGTAAGATCGACCCTTCTGGTATGAATACGGAGGCCCAAGCTGCCCCGCGAGTGCACGTATATACCTCGACACGAGGGAGAATCACGCATTCGTGACTGCCTCAACGTCTCTCCAGGTATGTTAACGTGTTCCCGCCGCCTATTAATTCAGTTTAACTTAGTCAATTTGGTGAATATCAGTGCTCATGTGTTAACATAGTGAATTCTGTGCCAATTAAGTCGAGTAACGTAGAGATTTAGATATTGTCTGAACCGTTGCCAGGCGTAGGCTATGTTTTGTATAGTTGAAGTTAGACCTTTAGGCATTCGTGACTTCCTCAACGTCTCTCCAGTGTGTTGAGCTGAATACTCATCGGCTAACGTGTGGCGGTAACCGGGTTGGACGATGCCGTAATTCGACAGGACTGAACTGGGAAGTCCGTTTCCTGCAAATCAGGCGCCCACGCCCGGAGCGTGTGTCGGTCTACAACCGGCCCCTAACAGTGATCCTCATTTGTTGTAGAGACCAGCGTTACCCTGGGGCACTCCTCACAGTTACATAGGCCTAAGTATTATGGTATTCTGTTTGGGGGATAACTAGCAGAAATATAGTATCCCAAGTTAAGTATTGAACCACTGAATGAGAGTTAAAAGTGCCATGTTGTTCCTTGTGAATTAACAGGAGGTATTGTATGTTGAGATAATTGTGGAGTTGTCCAGTGTGCTATGTATTCATCCTGTAGTGACCATGAAATGATAATCTGAGAGTATAATGATATAACCAAGAAGTGAAGAGTTAATTTGCTACTTGGTAAGGTAAGACCTGAGGGTCCAGTGATATCTGGTGTATACCCAGTACTGAATATCATTTGCAGAGTGACAATACCACAATTGTCGATTGAAGTAATAAGTATTTGGAGGTATTTAATGAGGTAATAAGTTCTTGAAGTGTTTGATGACTTAATAAATAAATTGCAGTTCTGTTTAGTCTGAGTGAGTCTAAGATGCATCTGTAGTGGAATCTCCCTACAAACGCTGTTTGTCACTGCCTAGCCGACCCCACCAATTCCCCAGTGTATGCCTCGTGGTCTAGGTCAACCAGCGCCGCCATACACCACGGAGCGGGGGTCAACTGCTAAGCCACGCCTACCCCCGCTATTTGACCTGACCTCGTGGTGATCCTCTCTTTCTACCTACACCAACCAGCCAGCAACACCTCCGCCTGCCTGGCGGTCCTCCCGCTGGCGAGCATGGCGACCCACAAGCTGTCCTTCTGAGCGTCCTCACCAACCAGCTCTCTACACGCTTGTAACCATGCTGCCTTCCCAGCACCAAGCTGCATTGTACATCCAATACAACATGTATATAGAGAGCACATTGTGAGTTTCCTTTCTCCATTCTATCCTGAGTGTGAACCAAACATCTCATACCCCACACATCTTATCCAATCACTGTGTTAATAAATATTGAATTAGTAATCTACGAGTATCACCACTCTATCCTTTCCCACATTGGTTCTCAGAAAATAACTAACTCACGTGCCTAGAAGCTCGCTACCTAACAGTTAACTAAGAGGTGTTATATTCTAGAAAAATCCTGGGTGGTGGCAGTTCTACCGGTGTACGTATAATAAGTGTGGTAATAAGAAAGACATGGTTTCCCAGGTTAATCCATGGTTTAGAATATAACAAGAACAAAATATATGGAAGAGATCATAATATATGAAAGGAAATGAAAAGAAAGAACATTGACTTGGAAAACATAAGCAGAGAAGCATAAGAGTTACTTATATAAGAATATATAAGAATATAAGGTATATAGAGATAAAGAACATAAAAGAATATATAAAGTAAGTATGTGTGTAAAGAACTGAAGAAGGATAAGTATATAAAACAGGATACTCATTGGAAAGAATGCTACAGAACAAATAAGTATATGAATAAATAGAATACTAACAGAAAGGAATATCTGTATGGTAAATTATTGAAAAGAGGAAACTCGGCCCGTTACACCCGGGTGGGCTAATTCCCGAAAAAAACAAAACTTGCCAACAGTGCATAATAGAAACGTGACCGATCGCCCACGCGGCGAAAGAGCCGATCATTTGGTGAAGATAAAAGTAAAAAAGTAAGTAAAGTTATGTGATGGTGCTACAGTTATGGTGTTACTGTTGTTATCATGGATTGATGTTAATGGATATGGTGTTTTCATTATGTTACCATTTATTGGAGCTATGGTTATGGTGCTAATCATGTGTTAATATGTATGGGTGCTATGTTACTATATGGATATGGTGTTTTTGCTGTGCTACAGTATATGTACTGTAATTATGATGTAAAGTTTGTTGGTCTCGGGATATTTATGTCCTCATTTATTAAAGTAAAGATCTTAACAATATTGTATTTTGTATTACAACGTATATTCCTTAAGAGTAATGAAACGAAGATATATTGAGTGTGCCTACATCTGTCTTTGTTTTTCGTGTTATGTCGACAAGATTACATTTTTTTCTAATACAGTATACAAAGAAAAACGCGAAAATATGACGTCAGTGACAGTTAGGATTTGCGGCAGCAAATACACGTATAGGAAATACAGTAGAATTATGGACAGACCGATAGGCATTTACAAAGTAAACTTCGAATATTTACAAAATCGACATTTGTAGACAAAGATATGAAGTGCTTTGACAATTAAATTAGACTTGTCACTGGCGCCGCAAGATCAGCCAAGTTGTAAACAACAATCTTCAGGTGTGTGACTTACCTCATTAGTACAGCTTTTATTAGAATATATTGGGTAAATATTCGACGGTATTGTTTTCCTTTCACACAACCATGTATCCTTAGGAATTTCGGTTAATATTAGTTTTCCCCCATAACGGTTAGGTTAGGGTAGTTTGGGTTAGGTTAGGCTACGTTTGGTTAGGTTTCTTTCCTTTGACATGAGAAATTGTTTTTCTTGTGTATTTTGGTGTGATTCAGTAAAATTTCTCAAATCGAAATGGGGATACGGGGGAAATACTAACAATTACCGTAATTTCATCTTTGCAATTAATAGTAAGATAAGGTTACGTTAGGTTATTTTTAGGTCATTTGCGAGGGAACCGACATAGAAGAAAAGTGTCTTAGAATTGTCTAAACTATTGATTGCAAAGATAAAAATTCTTAAGATTTCATGGTTGTTTGAAAGTAATATTTTACCTATTCGATTAATATATAAAAAACACTGGATCTTCGACTCAGCAATGAGACCTGGTATTTCAAGAGGTGTTTTATATCCTTTTCAATTGGTGATAACCGTGGCTAATACCAGAAGGAGTTGTTCGATCTCAATAAATGTAGTGGATATTTTGCCATGACCGGCTAAGTTCCAACTCTATTTTACCATGAGTGCGCTCTGATTGGCTAGGAAATTAGGTAAGTTTGGGTAGGTTTCTTTGGTTAGTGAGGTCAGATTCTATTAGGTTCTTTTTTTAATGTTTAGAACATGTGGAGAAAATGAACAAAATTGAGCAACTTCTGGTGGTAGTGTTCTCAGACATTATCGTACAGTATTATAAACCTTTATACAAGTTAGGTAAGGTAAGGTATGGTTCCAAAGGCTTGTTTGGTGTTGTTTTTAGTATTTTACCCCACATTTTCCTTCAACTGCCCACTTTGAACAACCAGTATTGTTGGTAATTGGGGAGGTCTTATCGGTTAAAATACTAAAAAAATATAAATCCGCCGGAAACGCAATAGAATATAGTTTTTTTCCTCCTATATAAATAGAAATATGAAATTCCATGTTCAACTTAAAATGAATCTTTATCTCTATTTTTCTTAGTAGTTTCCATGTACAGTACAACAGAAATATGGTTAGGTATGTTTATAGCTTCACAACGATTGACTAAGGGCAAAATAAATGCCAAATGCCACCAGAGGCACAGTGAATTATAGTTCTTGTGTTGTTACGGTAATGGATGATTAGCCTACCAGAGCACACTCACGGTAAAATAGCACTAGTAGGAACTTAGCTGGTCACGGCAAAATATCCACTGTCCAGTAAACACTTTTTAACACATTTGCCATAACTTTGACAGTGTCCTTTATAAAACACAGTAAAATTGCAGCGTTTTCAAATTCGTTTTCGATGAGAAACCAGTGGCGGTGTAGTCGCCAATAATTACTGAGGTGACAACTTTTTATATGGGCTAATAATGATTATCCTGCCGATGCATTATTTGTTTTGATGTTTATTTTCTTACTATATTTTCATCAGTGAGCTCTGATGTGATATTTATTGTTTATATTTTGGGGGGAAATTGCCTCCTTTTGTAGATGATTGGGTGACTAGGCGTGCAATACTTTGTCTGGCGCACACTATTTGGTCTTTCTCGGCGGTAATGCAGCAGTACACAGCCAATCATCTCCGATCAGCACCAGTCACCAGTGTTTGTTTATGAACCACACTGATCGGGCGGCTGCTCTCACGTCCACAAATAAACGGATCTGAAGTTAGGTGGGGTTTGGTAGGTTTCTTTGGTTAGGTTGGTGAGGTCTTCTAATAATGCTTCTACTGGTAGTTTTCTTATCAACTAAGGTTAAGTTAGGTTTAGAAATAACCAATTTTTAACGCATTTGCCAAAACTATGTAAGTGTCTACTATAGAACACAGTGAAATTGCAACATTTTAAATTTTGTTTTTTATGAAATATTGGCAGTGGGTCTGCCCTGAATAATTACCCTGCATGTCATCTGTTTGTTTACACTGACCTGCTCGTTCCAAGCGTACTCTCACATCCACAAAAACCATGATGCTTACAAAGTTGCTTTCATTGGTAGCAGATATCAAAACAAGTGTATTTGCTGTTAAATATGGCAGGGGTCTGGGGGAAGTTTGCTAAGGTTTGGTAGGCTTGATTGTTTGGTTAGGTCAGGTACTATTAGGTTTTAGTAAATGTCACCTCTTAAAATATTTACTATAAAGATTAGAACATCTATAGAAAAAATTACTGAAATCAAACAACTCTTACATAGTAGTATCTTATATACTGTACTGTATTTTATGACATATAAAATGCACTGCATTTTAGCAGGAAGTATTAAGAAAAACTTTTGTTATTTTCCTTCTGTATCCATAGTTTTCTTAAAACAATATATACAGTACAGTACCAGTAAATGTGAGGAATAAATAAAAATAATACAAATAAATAAGTTACAGCAAAACATAGTCTCTTGCCAAACCAGTAAATAAAAGTAAAATGAAAGTTTAACACAGTCGCCTTTTGTATATACTGTACTGTACATCTGTACCCCCTGTTTACCATAATGGCGTGAATTCCTCCGCCGATTCACTAGCAACGCTCCCCCCACACCACCACTACCAATCACCCAGCCGTCCTCCGCTCCCACTAAGCCAGCTTTCGAGTTCAAAGAAATGTATATTCCTTTTATGTGTTTGCCCTTAGGACAATTATTTCTTTTATTTTTTCAATGGTGTGTGCATGTATATCAGTAAAAATAAATGAAGAAAATTCGTACAGTATATCTACCCGAAAATATGAGTTGAAAAACAACAACAGCTTAGCTCAATAGCCTGGTTACAGAAACGAGTCTAACCTGGCTACAATTCCGCCAGTGATATTAACAAATGTAAATGTGAAAAGAAAGTTATCTGTAAATCTTCATTTGTATCAGGTATTTGTAGATTTAAAAATAAATGTTGCAGGTATGGTATTAATAGATTGTAATGCTTGTAAGAGTTCAGAAATGGTTACTGCATAGCTACCTCTGAAGAGTTGGGTGTCTGCCATACAGACATTAATCATCTCAGGTTATTGTCATCAGTACAGTACAGAGTAGTTATAGATCGACCTTTTATATTTACAATAATTATTATTTAAATAATTAAAAATAGTAATGTGTTTAAGTAAGCAATAACATATTTTTAATTCTGGAGTGGATTAGGTATAATTTAGCCAACTGGAGACAGCAACAGGGGATTCATTAGTTTGTGGGAGACCGCAACTTCACATATGGGGCAGTCTGAATTTTTTTGCCATTTTTCAGACAAAAAAGTGCATCTTATGATACGACAACTTTATATTTTAAATATAAGTACTGTATTTATTTTATTTTATTTTATTTATTCTCTATCTACGATCTTAAATCACCTCTAGTGGGCAGGGCATGAAGGATGAGCGATATTGTGGGGTAAAACACGCTGAAAACGCGATCATATGACACTAAAATGCTGTCTTTACAGGCATAGCACTCCAAAAAATCTGCCATGTTGGGGTGTATTGTCGTCCGCTCTTTGTTTGTTTCCATGCAACAACCGACCCATTTCGCCAGAGTGCTCTCACATTCACCAAAAAATTTAGATTACACCATGCCGCTTCAAGAGATCTGCTTTCATTGGTACCAGATATCAAAGTACAGTAAGTACAATACAGTACTACAGTACTTTTATATATGGCTGGTGATCCGCCCCCTGTCTAGGAAGTTAGGTAAGGTTAGATGGGTTTCATTGATTGGTTAGGTCAGGTTCTGTGCATTGTTGTATTATTTTCATTACTTACTATCATCCAAAGAACATACCTGTGGAAAAATTGAAAGAAATCGAGCAATGTGTTCTGGTGTTAGCCAACTGTTCCAGGATTATATACAGTACAGGAGGTCCTCATTAAAAGAGTATTCACTAACCTCGTTTTGCAGTTAAGTGGTCAATTTTTTGTGACCATCCACATGAAAAGTCCACGCATATAAGTGGATTTCACTCCAAAACTCTGAAAATACAACTATCCCTTTTAGTCGGAAAAGTTGGTGCAGAGCATTTCCGGGGATGAGAGATTTCTGGCTAACCAGACGACTTGCTCAAACCCGGAAAAATTCCTTATCCCCGGAATATTTTCCTGTTACTGGGAAAAGTTTCTGAGTGTCTAAACTAGACATCTTGCACACACAGACTCTAGCCCACTACCCCAGAATATTTCTGGGTGCTGGGGATATTTTCCTTGAGTCTAAACTACCGGAGTCTGTAAATGCAGTTCAAATTAAGTTAGAAACTCCATTTCTGTACTATAATAATCCAGAATAGTTTACCTGAAAGTTTGGTAAAATAAATAGAGTTAAAATTTAAAAATCTTTATGATTTGGGCATGAATGAAACTGTGTTACAGCAAAGACTGGTATTTTCCACTCCCATGGAGCTGTGGGGGATTAGTGGATCTCATGTAACTGACCTGACACATTGTCAGGTGGAGGTAGGGTGTGGGATTAGTGGTCTCATATTACTGACCTACTGATGAAATGTCAGGTCACCCTTTCTTGGGTGGGGGATTAGTGGGTCTCCTGACCTGAAGATGTCTTGAATAAACACAAAACCTAAAGTATTTTTTGAGAGATAGTGATAAGTATAAATATAAATAAGCAAAGTTGTATCCCTTCAACTTTACGTTACATAACATTTTAAAATATGGAGTGAGAAAGCAGAAAGGTGTGGTTAATGAGAGAGATGGAGTGGAAATGTGTGTGTTGCCAAGCACTCCTCAACCGCTGCTATTTAACTTCATGATCACACACTTAAATTTGTCAAACAATAAGACTCTCACCCCTTATGTCTGCTGTCTTAATTCCCTTGTTAGGGGTATGTGAGTGGTGTAAGAACTGTGATGGTGGGGTGTGGCTGAAGAGTGTGGTAGATGAACCTTTTTGTGGGATAGGGGGGGGGTCGCACAGACACTTTTCTCTCCCCCCCTTCCTTACTCAAGTGTGGCAAATTGTGATAGGAAGATGAATTTGATACCATAATGATCCTTAATAAATTCTCTACAAAGCGTTTCCAATAAGATATCCTTAAACAAAATATTTCTATGTGATATAGTGATGGGAATTACATTCTTTATTAAAAAAACGTGAAAAATGTTGATACAGAGTCAGTAAAATCAGTTCTAATTTTGTTAGACACCATTTTTTTTATCAAAATAATCCTGAATACAGTACAGTACAGTACAGTGCTGTACTTTATCTTAAAGTTTGGTTAAATAAATAGATTTAAAAAAACAAAAGCTCTATATGATATGAGCGTGAACAGAACGGTTTCTTTTATCTTCACCACTGATCGGCTCTTTAGTCGCAGGCGATCATCCACGTCTCTGTTACACACTTCACTCAATTGACTGTAATACATAACTAATCACGTCGTAACACTTGCGATGAAGGTTGGGTGGGAGATTATTGGGTCACTTTACTAACCTGACCTGATGCAGCATCAGGTCATCCAGTGTTGGGATGGGGAGAAGTGGGTCTTTTGACCTGAATATGTCTTGAACGACATTATTTTTTACCTATGAGGTACAGTATATACAAAGTGCTATACTGTATTGTATATGAAGGGAACATGTATTAATAACCACAGATTATTACAGTAATGTATCTGTATTAATTAATGAAAAACAAATAAACAATATTGTATCACGAAGAGTAGACAAGCAGAGAGACGACCGTGCTACGGTCACTTTACACCCCATGGAAGATAGATTAACTAGATTAACACTTATAAAATGTCACTGACTTGATTTACGAGAATATAACTTGTATTGCTAGAGTTCTTGTAAGATAGTGATTAATTTGAGTATAAACATCACTTATTTTGCTGCACACAGACCGCCGTTTGGGAGGGAGGGTGTTGCCGTCACTTTTACCCCCAACAGACCCTTCTCCCTCTGGCTTGGGGGAGGCAGAGGGGTTTGAATTTTTTTGCTTATAAAATGACACTGACTTGACTTCGGAGAAAATAACTTGCAGTGCTGAAATTATTGTAAGATAGCAATTAATTTGAGTTCAGTATACTTGCAACTTACATGAGGGGTTCGTTCCTGGGACCATGCATAAAGCCAAAAAACGCATAAAGTCAGAAACACTCCTAAAAATCCCCTAAATTGCCCTTAAATCATTATATATATACTGTACTACTGTAATATAATACAAGTGATTAATTTTTACCTCGTGCAAAATATATGATGTCTATATTCAAATTATTCTGTCTCCCAAGGATTCTAGCGATGCTAATTATTTTCTCCTAACTTTAGTCTGTGATATTTTATAAGATAAAAACCTAAGCATAAAACCACCAAACCCTGGCTGGGAAGATGGGGCGAAGCAAGGAGAGAGAGGAGGAGGAGGTGAGGTGATGTATTGTGACAGTTGGCGAAGGTCTATTGCATATTTATTTATCAGTCCTTGAGAGTGACTTTAAGTTTTTCTCTTATCAAATGTCACTGCACTGACCTGGGAGAATATAATTTACATTGCAGAGATTCTTGTAAGATAGTGATTAATTTGAATATAAACATGCTTAGTTTGCACTAGACATAAAAGTTTTAGTAATTATTCAGTACATTTGAGTACATGTACAGTACAGCTATGCCTTTAGGACAGTGTGTGCATGTAAATGAGTAGAAATAAGTGAGGACCAGAGGAAGAGGTTGGCTTGTGTTTGGGCATTATGAACGAGTATGAGAGGTTTAAGTGCACAAAATTGACACACGGGAGGCAGGTGTTACTCCGACAATACCCATGTGGCAACTGAAGACAGAGGTGGGAATGGGATGGCTAGGGTAATTAACTTAAAACATTTGAGTATGCACACACACACACACACACACGGGAATTAAGACAACAAGCATCCAGTGAGGGTCTTGTTGTGTGATTGCATGGAGAGTAAATTAAAATCAGCTGTTGAGGAGCTTATTGCAGCAACACAGGTGCACTTACCACTCCATCTCTCTAATCACCCACACCTTTCTGCTTTCTCACTCCATATTTTAAAATGTTATACTTATCACAATCTCCCTAAACATACTTTAGGTTTCGTGTTTATTCAACACATCTTTAGGTCATGAGATCCAATAATCCTCCACCCAAGAAAGGATGACCTGACATTCCATCAGAAGGTCAGTGTCTGAGACCACTAATCCCACACCCTACCTCCACCTAACACCGAGTCAGGTCAGGTCCCCCCAAAATAGCATTCGTCTTTATTCAAGACTTTTCAGAAAATGCTTAGATTTTCAACCCAGAATTTTCCCAAAGCCGTAAATTTTTGGATAATTCTGGCTTTAGGAATGATTTTCTGAGCAAATTTAAATTCCGGCTATCGGAGATTTCCGGGTTTGAGATTGGCTTATGGAAATACTACTTGTATATCGATATAAAGCATAGGCACAATTTTTTTTTTTGTTCCATTTGAGAATAATTTTTTTGCTATTTTCTCCAAAACTATTGGTCATATCAGAAATCTGATTACCTGTACTGCTTGGGAAAGTTCATAAAATTCTGCTTCTAGCAGTGTAAAGTATGGTAGTTAAAAAGTTGGCTCAGACAATTTTGAGCTAGGAGGTTGTGAACGTAATGGTGTGTATTTTTTCTCATGTTTATTAGAAGTGAGGAAAAATAGTTACATAGTGTACTTGTATTATTATATTTTTTTTGCTTTTGTTACAGAGCATTCGATTCTGACCAAGATATATGTTTTATGTTTTGGGGAAATTGATAAAAAAAAAAAAATCACTGCCCTGTCTCGTCTGCCTGGGGAGTCTCAGAATTGTGTTCTTGGAATTGGAAAACTTAAAATTTATTTCGTGTACAAGAGGGTTAATGGGCCAATGAACTGCAGGGGAGAGGGGGGCCTTTACCGTCATCTAAAAAAAGAAGGGCTACACCATAATGACAGTACACACCAACAGAGAGAGTGGAATGGTCCAACTAGGAGGGTAGGACACTGATTAGGCCAAGGCGGCACAAAAACAGGGTGCTGTTATTTATTCTAGAACTGGGAGACGGTCAGGTATGAGTGCAAGGGGATGATGTTTTGAAGAGTTGAAATGGTGTAAAATTTTACTGATGGGAAGAAACACTCAATTTTGGAAGCATATACAGTATAGTCTCAATTTACGAGGATGTGGTTTCTGCGACACGTTGCCAGACCGAGAATTTTTTTACGGTTCATTCCATCATTTATGCGGGAAGCGGCGAGGGCAGAATGCGCACAAGGTCGCCCAGTCAACAAAACATTGCAGGTTCTTCACCTGCCACCCACCACAGCCTGCCCAAGTCAGTGATAGTGATAATGAGGATATGGACTTTGAGGGGTTTGACAAAGAGGCTCTGCAAGCCTCTGTGGTGGATAGTGATACAGGTGAGGGCCAATAATCTGCCCTCTTCACAGAACAACCAATCCCCCTGTACCCAGCCACTTCTTCTACTAAGTGTTAAAAAACCTAACATTATTGATATTTATCTTAAATATTGATTGTGTGTGCATACCATCATAAAATTAAGATGTTATTTTTACTACAGCGTCGTAGCGTATTGTGTCTGGGTGAAGTATAATGTGTTTATTTACTGAAGATATTTGTTTTAGCTCATAAAATTCATAGAAATTACCGGCCAGAATATAATTTACATTGCTGGAATTCTTATAAGACAGTGATTAATTTGAATATAAGCGAGCTAAAATTTGCATTAGACACAAATTTTAGATCGAATTTAAGAATTTATTAAGAGAGCAATTTATCTTTTGTGCAAAATATATAAGCGTTTATATTCAAATTATGATCTTGCAAGGAATCCAGCAATGTCAATTATATTATCCTAAACATAGTCTGTGGTATTTTTATTACTAAACCTAAAAACCTAGTGTTTTCACCCAAACATTTCTCAAGGCGTGGGAAGAGGTGGGGGAGTTGAGTCCATTATTTGAATGGACATTAACTGGCGTTGTTCTCTTAAATATTAATTTTGTGTGCATACCATCATAAAATTAAGATGTTATTTTTACTAACGTACTATTATTTTCGGAAAAAGTGTAGTTTGGGGTTGCCAGTCTCTTTAATTAATCCCATATGTTCTGTTAATTCGTTTACGAGTTTCTCGTTTCTCGCGGACCTCCACGGGTTCAATTGACCGCGTAAATGAAGACTATACTGTACAGATCAAATTGTAGTTCATTGACCCTTGAGAGCTTGAGATCCTTTATAGACATTACAGCTACATTATCCTCTAACCACCTGGTAATGGGTAATTGTTTATTGTTACACTGATTGAAGAAATAAGAACACTTAATAGCCTTAATAGACCTGCAACTGTTTCTGTAGAAACCTTGAAATTATTTTCTCTCCCAACATATTAAGACCCAACCCACTTCAGTATATAGGCGAGGAATCACCAAAACCACTGGATCTCTCCATACCTAGTGATGAAGGAATGACTGCCAACTTGGAGTATTTAATCCCAATCTGCACAAGTAATTGCATGACACTATCCTTCAGATTTCATTGATGAAAACCAGGTTAGTATAACTTCACATTAAATAATGTATTATAAATAAGTATTGGAAGTTTCTTTAAGTTAACATTAATAGTATTACTAGTGATGATTATAATAATACAGTGATAAAAAAGCGAATGCACCCAGTAAATCACTGTTTTAAGTACTTTAGATACCACATTTCCATTGGCATGGCCTGTACATCATCATCAACATCACTAAAGGAATATGAACCTGAATGAGAGAAGCTGATCCTCGCTAGCGTGAGCCATAAAACAGTAATGATGATGGTGTGAACAGTATGTGATGAATGCAGAATATAAATGAATTGGGTAATGTAGATATTAATGTTATTCTGTACAGTATTACTATTTAGTATTTCTTAAAACATTATATTTCTCCCAAATAAATAATGTATTGAAATTATTATTCAATTGTGGATTTTATAAAGCTCCAAACAATGTAATAATTATTTATTTTGCAGTTTAAACTTGAGCTGTTGATGATAGGAGCAGTTCATCTTATAAAGATCTTGCAGTCTGATTTATATCCAAGGTATGAGTATTCTTTATACAATACTGTACCATTTCTTGGTACACTCTCATTCAGTTATTCTTATCCTTCCACAGCTCTGCACATTTCAAACCAGTACTATGCTCTGCTTGTCTACATACTCTCAACCTTTTTTGGGAAGGTAGGGGGAGGGGACGGAGGGAGCGGGAGGTGAGGTGTACTTTGACAGTTAGCGGGGAAGGTCTGGTGCAGTATTTAATTTGTTTATTTATGTTGTTTAGTCCAGTTTTTGTTTTTTGCTCATAAAATTGCATAGAAATGACTGGGGAGAATATACAGTCATCATGGGTTAACATCCAACCAAACAACATCCGATTGCATATCGTCCGTCCCCCAAGTGTCGCCTGCTGGACCACCACTCCCCGACCTGACAGAACACGATGATCCTCCCCATACTGGCCAGATATTCTGTGTTAAAGGATATGCTTCCTTCCTTAGGCTTTTTAAGCATTTGCCTCCAGGTGTAATGTTAACCTACATCTATTGAGGATAAAATCTTTCACCTATAAATTGACAATAACACATTTGCTGTAATCGGACATATCTAGTTGCCTCAACAATTGCAACCCCAGTTGCAATTGGGGTTCTAATTCAAATTTTGTGTCATTACTAAGGAATATGAAGTCTCTGGTGCACTCTAGGATTGAGAAAAGCAGACTCAGGCGTCCTGAAGTGAGAAAAGCGGACTTCTATGATGGGGACACAAGCACTCACACATACCACTCATACTGACAGACTTGACACTCACTTACTTGACAAGTTTTACCAACCATAGTTGTTATCGTTATCTAGTGAATTTAGTCAATATTGCAAGTACAAGTACACCCTGCAATACAGTGGTCCCTCGGTTAACAATGGACCTAAGTGCAAACCTGTACTGTACATGTACTAAATGATTATGGTACTAAAATTGTTATGTCTATTGCAAATATAGCTTGTTTATACAGGTATTCAAATAAATCACTATCTTACAGAATCCCAGCAAAAGTTATATTCACCCAGGTTGGTTTGGGTGGCAAATTATGAGAAGAGCTTAGTCACTCTTAAAGAATGATAAATAAACACGCAGGCCTTCAGCGCCAACTGTCAAATCATATCGCCTCACCTCCCGCTCCCTCGCGTGGGGGGTTTTAGGCCTTAAGTTTTTCATATAATATATCAGACTATAGGAGAATATAAATTGCATTGCAGAAATCCTTACAAGACAGCGATTAATTTGAATAAACGTCATATATTTTGCTCAAGAGATAAAAATTTTAGTACATTAGTGTACATTTTATAATATAAAGTTTTTCAACTGTATTTTGTGGTAGATTTACATAAATTTCTTCCTTTATTTTCATCCATTTACATGCACACCATACTAAAAGAAATGTAAAAGAAATAAATGACCTTAGTGCAAAGCTGGAGTGTATATGTACTAATTTGATTATGGTACTAAAATTGTTATGTCTAGTGCAAATTATAGCATGTTTATATTCAAATTACTGGTAATCACTGTCTTACAAGAATTCCAGCAATGTAAATTATATGCACCCAGGTCATTTCACTGGCTTTTTATAAGAGAGAAGCTTAGTCACTTAAGAATTGATAAATAAACATGTTAGACCTTGGGCCGGTGCCAACTGTCCAACATACCACCTCAACTCCGACTCCCCCCCCATGCTCCCTCTCCCCCATCTGCCCAGCATTGCTGGAATCCTTGTAAGACAGTGAATAATTTTAATATAAACATGTATTTTGCACGAGATAAAAATTAATCCCCTGTATCACATTACTGTAGTGATTTAAGAGTAGGAGTGTATATGTATGTATCCAGCTAGACCCCGACTTACGACTGCTTCGACTTACGACCGCGCCAGTTGACCATTTTTTTTTTTTTTCCCAAATGACCGCATTTTCTATACCGAAATGTTTCCAGTTAATGTAGTCTCCATGTATAATTAGAAAATTATGGGGCCCATATGCATTCACTGACTACATTAAGGTAAGTGCTCAGTCCACTGTATCCATTCTCATTATTTATTACTTTCACTGTACAGTACTGTATCCATTCCTCATTATTTATTACTTTAACTGTACTGTATTTCATTGTAGATTTTTTATTTATTTATTTATTTATTTATTTATTTATTTTATCTATGTCGGACTTACGACCTGGATTTGGGTCCCTAACCCCGTCGTAAGTCGGGGTCTAATATGTATAGTATTCCACATATACGTAAGTACAGTGGTCCCTCGGTTAACGAGCACAATCCGTTCTAGAAGGTTCCTCGTTAACCGAAACCATTGTTTCAATGGTTTTGGATAGTGGTTCCAGCTCCGAAAATTGCCTAAATTCAACAAAAAAGGTAGAAAAAGTACCTTACTTTGAGGTGTATGTAGAAGGCTCCTGGATGATGATGATGATGATGATGGGAATTAGAATGGGGTGGAGAAGGGAGAAGAAGGCATTGGGGTGGAAAGTCACCCCATGGCACCATTCACCACTAAAATTTAGTTCTCTTGGTGTAATTAAAGATCATTTTCTTTAAATCAACACTGCACTGCATTATATATTGTCAATGTGTAAAATAAATTTCAAAATGACTAATAATTTGCTTGCAAAAAAAAAAAATCATTTAGCTGAAGAGGTCTCCAAGCAAGATGTTACCTCCACTGAAAAGACACAAAGACTGACGCCTGTTTGGTGTGTTGACAGGCTGAATGGCGCGCAGCAAACTAGTTATTTACCTTCAATTATGTTCAATAATTGTTAAAATGACTAAAAAATTTAATATTAAACTTTTAAAATTATTGAATAGTATAAACTTCTTGATATTTACTAAAATGGTAAAGAATATAAGCCCTAGAACCGATTACTGTATTGGCGGACTAATACTACAGCTGGTGGACCGCCAAATGCAAGCTATGTTGAGGTCGGCTGTGAAACTCGTTAATTGAGGGATTGCTCATTCACCAAAGTTAAGAATCTTATGGAAGGTAACTCGTTAACTGAAATCTCGTTAATCGAGGCGCTCATTAACCGAAGGACCACTGTATAAAGACAAAGTTTATGTGATGATCGGACAACGTCCATTTCGGTTAACGTCACGTTTCCAAGAATGTTAACTTAGGACGTTAACCGGCGCATGACTGTATTACTTGCGAAATACAAGATCTTACTGTACAGTATTGTATTATAATATTGACCGTATTAGCTCTATCTACAGCAGTTCTTCGATTTATAAATTAAACATGAAAAATGAAAACCCCTTTTTTACACACACACACACACAAAAAAAAATACAGTAAACAAAATAAAAGTAAAATATAGCATTGGAAGATGCTGAGTTCCTGATCCAAGCATCTGAAAGCATATGCTGTGTTGAATACATACAGAAGCAGTGTACTGTAATACAGGCAAGTGTGTGGCAACGTTTCTGTGCTTATATATTAATTAAATTTTAAAGCTATGTTTTAATTGCATCTGTTTACATTGCTGGTGGTATGCTACCAAGTTAAACTCATCATGGTAGCCACATCTCTTTAGCCCTCTTCCTACCAGGCTGAGCTGTGAGCCATGTTATGGTTATTTTTAAACTCTTACATGCATGCACAATCTTTCATACAGAATGTGCAAAAAAAAATCTTAAGTTTAAAAACATAAGAGAATAAACATTCTTCATGGGTGGAAGTTAGCACTAGGGCTGGGCAAGAATCGTTAAAATTGGAATCGATGGTTCCGATTCTCGGTGCCAATGGAATCGCTGGAATCGATTCCTCAAGTAACAAATACTGTCATATAGTTATAGGGGGCAGCACAACTAAAAGGCCTCCCCCATGCCTCATGGTCACAGGACTGCTAATCTGTCATGTCACCACTGCTGTCTTGGAAGGACAGCATGTAAATGTATTAAATATTTAAATTTAATTTTATTTGGGGAATACAATAAACTTAAGAACGTAATGAAAGATGTTTATTCCTTACTTCTTTGGCAAGTAAAATATTTTTGTTGTAATTACCAAAATCTAATTTCCTTTAAAAAATAATATCAATAATTTGGAAATAAACTTGTACTTCTTATCTGTTTACTTTACAGAAATATAATTTCCCTAGTATAAAAATAATGTCAATATTTTGAAATAAATACATAACTTTGATCAATATGATTATAAACATTACTCCATCACAGCTTCACACATACACTAGTGCCAATTGATCAATCATAATAATTAATTGAAGCCTATTTTGGGAGCGTAATACATTTTTTATTCAAACACATTCATGCAGCACCGTAATCACAAAACCAAAAACTGTGCGTAACAAGATATTTGTTATCAGTCTAACCTCTTAATTAATTAAATTGATAATTAACAAAACAGTGTCTCTTTCATAGAAATGACTGCAAAACACAAGGAGTGTCTACTCTACTTCATGTTCTTGTTAAGGAAGAGGATCATATTCACGTTTTTGTCCTTTAGACAGCTACGTCTTTGGGACACTAGTTAAGCCAGCCTTAGAAAAAAGCCTTTTAGAGGGCACTGATGATGTTGGGGAGCAAAGGAACATTTTCGCTTGTTCTTGGAGTTTTGGGAAAAGTGCTGCATGTTTTTCCTACCATTGTAGCGGATCTCTTCTCTAGGAATTGTCAATTCTTCCATATATCTTCTCATTTCAATATAAGGCCCTGTAGACGGGTGTGTTGAAGAGACGAGTGCAATTTTTTCAACCTTGGCATTGAATTTAGCCCAGAGTGAACTTTTCTTTGGTTGTGTTGTAACAGTTTGTGAGGAACCTGGGGACTCCGCTTGTACTGACATGCTTGTAGATGGTTCTTGAATTTCTGTTGTTTCTGCATGCCCCATACTTGCCAACAGTGTGTAACAGAGAAGTGACTGATCGCATAAGCGGCTAACGAGCCGATCAGTGGTGAAGAGGATGAAAAGTAAAAGTAAAGCCACCATGTGCCGGTTGCCTCTGGAGGACAGGGTGGGACCGTCGACAACTCACTCTCACTGTAGTGTTAGTGGAATCGCTTCATGGGAACCGGTTCCCAAATTGGGAACCGATTCCGAGGTAGCTCCTCTGAATCACAGGAATCAATTCTGGACTCGATTCCTGCCCAGCCCTAGTTAGCACACAGATGGGGAGGAATGGCGTGGAGTATCTTAACTGTTTACTGTCTCTTGTGTCCCATGTGTAGTGAAACGATTGCCTAATGGCAATGCAGTAATTTTTCTGTTATTTTATGTATTTCTCACATTTACAATATAGTAAAAGCATGCAAAGAAAGTGTTTATCCTATCCTCATCAGAAACATCACTATGAAAACTATGCTGAACAGCATCTGTTTAGTAGTTAGTACTGAGTGTGTCGGCGGCATCGGGTCAGAAGCCGGCCTAGCTCCATATGCATTTGTGGATTTTTTTTAATTAAATGTTATCCAGTAAAACCCTCTTAATTTAAACTAATTGGGGAGAAATCCAGCCCATATTAACAAATTTGGGAGGGTTCTATTTAATCCAGAAAAGTCTGGATTTATAAAAGAAAAAATCTGGATGGTAATCTGGATTGCCATTGGCGCCTACGAATACCGGCCCCAGCCACTTTGTTTACAAGCCAGTCACACTGCTACAACCCCTGTGTATTATCTCTTAACTCCTTTGGACTATTTGTGACTGTGTTGACTAATTACCATGGTATTCCAAAAGCAAGACAGCAACCAAAAATTGCTTTAAAATTTATATTTTTACTTTTTTTTTAAAGTATCTCCCATTATATAATGGTAGTCAGTTGGAAAAATGGCTTCAATAATAATTCAATTTATGCAAAAATCTATTTACAAATGTTTTTCAGGGTTATATCCCTTTTGTAAATCTAAGCACTCCTGTATATGAGAATGATTAAGGTTGACAGATAAATAAGTGCATGTGTAGAGGTTTCTTAGTGTAATACTGTATGTGCCTAGACCTAAACTTTCTAAAACTCACCCTCTGAAGCTGCTACTGGAGTTTTCATTGTTTTCATTCTGCAGATGCCAGTTGTCAATCCAGCAGAAAGTCTGCTCAAGCTTTCTCTTCAAGCTGTCTGCAGTAATGTAAAGGTGATGGTTACCAGAGCTGCCGACTTTACTGAATCTGCTGATGCTGTTTTACAGGTGGCAGAGGAACAAGTCCATAAGTTACTTCTGAGCCAGACACAAAATAGGTATGGTCAAGATACCTATGATAATGTTGAAAAAAGAGGTTCTAGTGCTTCTATAAAATTCAAAAATATACAAGATTTGTTTAAGAAGCATAATAACTCAACTGAAATTATCAGTAAATACCTAGAAAACTTACCTGCAGCATTTTTAAATGAAGTTTTTAAAAGGACACTTATATTAGTTGCAGGTATTATTGTATATGATGAAGAACAGATTGAAAACTATATGGCAGACAAATGGTCATTTGTTCCAAGAGTGAAAGTGGCTTTTCATTTTCTTATGAAAAGCATGTTATTCCCAAGTGTTTCATCTTTGGATATTAGCCCAATTACAACTGCATTTTTTCAAGTTTTTGCTCAGTACCTTATGAAACATGACACTGTTAAAGAGGATATATTAGTTAAGTTATTGAATAACAAGGAGAAAGACATATTTTTAAGTACAATTATTACTTATAAAAAGAGATTGACAAATCTTACAAGTTTAAGTTTCCAGAATTTGGCACATGGGGAATTAGTATGGCTTATTTCTTGTCAATGCCCTAACCTGTGGCATTTAGATCTTAGTGGTGGGCTTTTTGATTTGCAAAGGTACTGTGTAACAGAAATGAGTGGAGGTCAGCATGTGACAGCAGTGAATACGAATGGAACAAGAAATTATCAAGAAGCCGATTTTGTTGGTGCAATATGTGGCTTGTATGGTAATCATGGTTTTCAACACACAATTTATGATGGCATTGCACAGGGTTGTCTTAACCTTAAAACACTACTACTCCCAGAATGCAAATGGGAGAAACATGAGGAGGATGCTCTGTTGGATGGGATAAAAGAGCTTCTTCTGCATGCTCCATACATAGAGGAAATAACAGGAATTTGTTTGATTTATATCTTATGCAAATTGAATGAGTTAGAGTATCCTCCTATTTTGTTAAAGTTAAAGAAATTTAATGGTAAAACTGGAGGTCACAATTTGGTTGGTGTTGCTCCCAGAAGGTTAAAAAAGGTTCAGTTACCTTTTGTAACTGAGGTAATCATGAGTCTTAATGTTTTCATGCCTTCAGTTACACTTGAAATTTTTCCGAATATGAGGCATCTCACTGTGACTCCTTATGATTATCGCTCCTATAACTTTGATGATATTCTGCCATATTTGACAAATCTTCATACCCTTAATATGGAGTTGACACATGAAGTGTCAATTTCTAACATATGTGATATTGCAGAGAATTGCAAGTTAATTGAATCCTTAACATTAACTTGTCCAGCACTTCGGATGCAAGCAGTAGATATCAATGAGGACCTGATTGCTATAGAAGAGCCAGAAAGAAACTCCCCCTCACCATTACTGATAAAGAACATTCCAGGTAAAAAGATGAATGAACCTCAGGAATCCTTACATATACTGAGGTCATTTCCAGAGTATCAAGCTCTGTTGAAGATTGATCCTGCACCATATGAAAAAGATAACAGCCAAATACCTAATTTCCTACGACTTCATACACTACAGTTTTTTGGCATTCGTAGTGTTGAAGCTGCAGCTTTGTACAAGTGTATCAAGGAGCCCATAGTTCAGACGTTAACATTTGTGGCACAAGAGATAGGTGATGACTGCAGAATAGAACTAAATGATGATTTTGTAGGAAGGATTGCTCCCTTGTTGAAAAAACTGAGAAACTTAAAAATTTTTGCTGAAGATGATCAGAAACACATTATTCCAATAGCAAACTTGACTTCTCTGGGGATTGAACATATACTAAGATTCTGCTTTGACATTCGATCGATTGGCAATATGGCTAGTTGGAATTTAACTGCTGATGGGGTCAAAATCCTGAACAATATTTTCAAGAAAGATAATTATATTTTTAAGGTCTATTGAGGTTATGACTGGTTTGTTATCAAAATCAAATACATAATCAAGTTGCTGAATGAAATTGTGGGGTTGAAGTACCAGGGTACGGTACCAAATTATGCCTCAGAATTTTTAGAGATGATCTGATATGTACAATCTTGTAAAATGTTCTTCTCAGAATAAAATAACTGTTTACCCAAGTGTGAATGCACTATAATTTTTTGTAAACCATAAGTTTAAATGTAGAAAATTTTAATTGGGTGTGATGTATTAGTGCTTTCAAGAATTGCATTTATAATGTGTATAATAAAAGTAGGTCCCATAGGCCTGATGGCCCATTAGGGAGTTGGTTATAGCATATTTGAGGCTAATCCTTCAGACACAAGGAGGCATTGTGGCCAACACTGTGCTTGACCACGTTCACTTCACCAACTGTTAAATTAAGTACCTAATCCCAACTAGGTGAACTCCAAGTTCAGTTTTGTCATACTGTACTGTACCAGTATGAAGGGATTGGATTGATATTCAAATTTCTACTCCTATAAATACTGTGGAACATTTGATAAATTTTTCAAGGATACAAATATCATGTTAGATTAACCTAACCTAGAAGTTTGTATGGGTACAAAAATTCAAATCTTGTAGAGAAATCAGTGACACCTTTGATTGCAGGAAAATTTTTGTTGACCTGTCTTTTGCAGTTACTTCCCCTAAAATACAGCCAGAGTTTGTACAAGTTAAAATTTAAAGACATGAAAGAGTTTGGATGTATAAAGTACTGTATTTTCTGGTTGGCTATCTAAATATAATGCCAGCTGAAGTCATGTTCAAAGGGACCTCCATAATTACAGTTACAGTAGTAAAGTGTTTCATAAAGCTTGGTCAAATTTATCAACTAAATAGATCTATAATATCTATACTATACTGTGGGTTATATCTTTATGTTAGTTCATCCATCCATCTGTGTCTGGTTATTGCTTCCACAGGTCTGGCCTTACTGTTGTTGAATATGCAAAATTGGCATTAGTGTGAAAGGGAGGGCCATTTATAAAGGGGCGATAAAGTACTGTACTCTAGCCATGGAGAAGATGTGCAATTGCTAGTTTCCATAATTGACTAGTGATATATTTGTCCTGTTTACAAACTTTCATTTAAGATGTTTTCTACTGATTTCTCAGTTAGTGTTCTAAAAGTGTCCTAAATATGCTTTCATTTTGTTTTCTTAACAATTTTGTTGGAACTACAGTACATTGGTTGAACACTAAAGAGTGGAAAATTATGAAAAGGAGGGAAGCAACAAACATTTGTGAAATTATGCACAAAGAAGGGAAGTGAGTGAAAAGAAGAAATACTGTTCTTTCCTATCTTCTTACATTTCAATTTTAGTCAATCTACCCCCACTTTTTCTTATTAATTGAAGGAGTGTTGACAGTCTAATGAAAGAGAATTATTCTACAGTAAAGGTCCAAAAATCCGGACCACCCGAAAATCTGGACTTTTCGAAAACTCAAGCTTTTTTTTTTAATTTAGCAGACTTTTGTGTGTATGTGTGAGTGCCACAGCGACAACAAGCGACCATCACGGTTGCCACTTTAAAACGAGCAATCAAACTGTGACAATGTATGTAATTTTGAGTCCTACTCTTTCTATTTACAGAGTACTGTACAAGCCCATAATAATGGCTCCTAAAGTAGATAAACTTCATTGTGTGAGAAAGAGAACATGTTGAAATTGGTGACAAACTTGAAATAATTAAGAAACTAGGCATGGTGTGACCAATACTGTTCTAATGGAAACATTCGACATTGGAAAGTCTACAATTTATGATATAAAAAAGGCAAAGAATAAAATTCTAGAATTCACAGCTTTTTCTTTAAAACTGCTTGTTTTGATAAATGAAGCATGCTATATTTGCTAATGAATGAACTATCAAAATGTACCTGTTCATCTCTTCTTTATTCCTCCTTAAATTTGAATTTTAAAAGTACAATACTGCCTGAGAATCCGGAATATCCGAAAATCCGAACTGACCCAATCCCCATGCAGTCTGGATTTTTGGACTTTACTGTATTATTTTAAATAATGAAAAATATTAAACTAATTGTAAAAAATTTGTCAATTAAAGAAAAAGTTTGAATTTCAATGCATGTATTGTGATCAGTGAGTTGAACATTAATTAATTTTATTTCTGCTTATCCTTAAATGTAAAAAAAAAAATACAACAAAAGAATGACAGCCAGGCATTTTGTGATAGACTGTAAGTGAAATACCTTCCTTATTATTTGTTCATGCAGTATAATTATACAGTAATATCTCCATTAGCTGGAATCCCTCAAACCTGGAACTCTCCGATAGCCGGAATTTAAATTTTCTTTGAAAATCGTTCCCAAAGCTGGAATTTTCCGGAAAATTCCGGCTTTGGTAACGATTTTCCAAGGGGCAGATTTTCCGGAAAATTCAGAAAAATTTTTCCGGGTACCTGGAAAATTCCAGTGATTGGGGGGTTCCGGGTTTGAGAGATGATGTACTGGGCAATTTCTGGAACTTCCGAGAACATTTTTCCGTTACCCGGAAAATTCTGGGGATGAAGGATATTTTTCTTGGTTCAAGAGATTGGTGTAATGGGTATTTTTTTCAATCTAGAATGCGATGTCTAGCTTTATACCTAGGCATATTAATGCCAAGCAATAACTCACCAGGCCAACATACAGGCAATTAAAACATCTAATAATTACTTAATACGTAATATTAGGACACGTCACTACCTGGCATTTAATTGAAATTCTCAAAAAAAAAAAAAAAACCGCACTCTCCATCACACACATTGCTACCGTCATCTTCTTGCCTGGTGAATCGGCTGTAAATACGCACAAAGAAGGCTCCACTAATTTGTGTTGTAATAACTGAAATACTAAGTGCCTAGCACAATTAAGCTGTGGAATTACCTTTCATAATGTCTTTAATGAAGATTATTTGGTATTTTATGATTTTCTTCTTGAGGGTTGCTGTACTGGCCAAGTTTGAGCCATTTTATTTCTTCAGATTTATGGTTTTATTATTAAAATTATTGTTATTATTATGGTGGTATGCTTAATATTCACGATACTAATTGTGCTAGTAAACAATGAATAAATTATAAACCAGTGATTTTTTGGGGGCTGAATACCCTGTATAATGTTATTTAGCATTATGACATCAAGGTATATTTTTCTTGTGCATTAGTCACAATGAATCTTTCTTAATCACATTCTCACTACAGTAAACCCTTGGTGTAATGGAACCTGGTTATAACAGGCACCCTAAACCTATTGGACAAACCCTCAAGATAACAGACAGGTGTCCATTATCCTGAGGAGCTGTCTTGATAGTTTGTCGCTGCATAAATACTAACTGCAAGAACTGTACCTGTACTGTAATATGCAGTAAAAAATCTGTAACTGTAAAAGTAAAATGCAATACAGTAAGCAGGAGGTAAGTAGTACTGTAGTTAGTGATAACACAGTGGAGCACAATGGAGGTGATTTTTATAGTGCGGACGACACATTCAAGTTGAGAAGACATTGCAGCCTTTCAGACTTTCCCTCTGATTAATGGATAGTTTATGCCCTATTGAGGGATTATTGGTTTTAATGGATTTTTGGCTTTAGTGACCATGGTTCTACCCCAATATATCTGTTATCCCAAGGGTTAACTGTACTATGTTTATTGTCAAATCTTACCCAATATTTTGTCTCCAAATTGTGACACTTTTCCTACCAAAAGCCCAGAGATATCCCTAATGCATTTTCTTTAGTATCACATGAAATGAACTAAAGCACCTCCTACATACAGTATGTTTGTACAACTTTGCCAGATTTGTCTTTGAACTTTGAATTTGGTGATTTTGATCTCCTCTACAGCAGTTTTCCTAATTATGTGAGATTAGTTATAAAATGTTTATAGCCTATGAACATTAAGAAAGGTTTATGAATGACAGTACATGTAGACACCAGAATATTATTGTATTGTTCAACTGTTTTGTACATAGAAGTTTAAATGAGTGTTGGTTTCCTCGGTATCACAGATATCGAGTTAAGCAGCAGATAGCTTTTTACTGCCTTTAAGAAAAATAAAAGGAGAACATTCATGTAAATGGTGTGTTACACTAAGATCTCTTTAAATTACTCTAGTTATGATTTTCTACAACAATATTTTTTATTTTATTTGATAATTCAACTGGACTACTGTATAGAATTCTTACGAAGTAGTTTGTCATTTAAATTCACTTGCAAATATAGTTTGTAACTCTGCTATTTAAGTAATATTACCAATTCAAGTTGAATTCCCTCACCGTGATGTCTTTCATTATGAACTTCTGAATCTTTCCAGTCACAGTTCTTGGAAATTCTTCCTTGAATAATATATAACGAGGTACCTTGTAATGTGCAATCTGAAATAGTACATGCAAATTTTTTAGTAAAACACATTGATTTGGCATATTTATAGAACAGACTCTACCTACCTTATTAATGACCCCAGCTTTAATTTATAAGCTGTATAATAATAATGAAGAACAGTTTGAAAACGGTTTCTCAAATATTTTACTAAGCTATGTCAGATATTCTGTTTTCTATACAGCAAGTGGCTGACCCTCATTCTACCAAACAGTGATATCATGTCCTATCCTTGCTAATTCCTTACTTTCCTTCTGTGTACTGTACCTGTACTCAAACTTGATCCTCTCCACTCATCAGTGGGCCTATACTGTACTCTACTTACCCTCTGCCATATTATTTACTTGGCTTACCAGTGGCAAATTCAGAAATATCAAAGGGGGGGGGGGTCCAAGAAGTTGTGGGTAGGGGAACATGGCGAGCCCACCCAGCTGTAAGCTCCTCTCCAGGATCCACCCCTGCTTACTTTATCGTCTTCCCCACTTGTGGCAATTGTGAAAAGGCTTTAATTTTATTGTCTGCCTATTAACTCTTTGGGTAAAGTTATTCTAGTTTTATTTCTTTATAGAGGTTTAAATTGTCTTCACCAACCTTAAATCTTTCTTCAAAATTCTACAACTGGTCAATAAAAATCAATAGTAAACATTCCACTTTCATATGTGTGCCATGCTTGTGTCTTTGATTGGTTCTTCATTGTATTGTGTCTTACAATAATTTATGTAATGTCAAATCTAAAAAAGTGATTGTGACAGAGACCCCACCGTCCCATACCCTATACCTTAATTAATAATGTAAATGTGCAAAGTACCTAAGTTTCCTATCATTATATTTGGACATGTACCTAAATGCCATCTTCCATACAGTACAGTATTTCTTTCATATAAACACAGTATTTGGCAATTTTCAAAGAAATTTCCAATGAATAGATAAATCTGACGCCTCACTTCCGACTTCCCAAATACATCAATAATACCAGGTGCTAATAATGTCACTTCCAATTCATTGTCTAACAGTGAATATGAATTACATTACACTAAATTTCAAGATAAATGCTTTCCCTCATTTTTAATGACAAATGGGGTTCAGTCTAGAGTCAATGTAAATTATAGGTTGAATATTTGCCCTTTGTTATGGTAAACCTCACTGCTAAAGTTCTTTATTGCTTCAAGAACTTACCAAATAATTAGAATCTAATATAAATTTATATTTGGACTGTAATGGGAATGACTATCTTGTCACAAATACATCAAATACTGGACAGTAGAAGACATAAATTCCCAATACTGTACCTGTAATTGCTGCTAACCCACAAACATGGAAAATGACCAACAAATGTTGATAGTGATGTCTTCCAAATTATTTATATTCTATTGAGTCCTTCACTATGGGGATGCCACTTTTAATATTTTATTTGGCTAATGCCCGATGATTTTATTCAGCACAGAGGGGAGTCCATACATAAAGGGTTAAGTAACCGAAAATGAACTTGACCAATCTTCTCCAGGTGTTAACCATTATTCGTTGAGGTTAGTGACTATGAAAAGCCATTATAAAACGAATGATTGTCTCAATATTAATAAGTTATGGGGAAAAATAGGTTCCATTCCTTAGATCCGGAAGATCCAGTTATCACTCAGAGCAGTTATTTCTCAACTCGAACTTTTGGGTACACATACAGGTATACCCCGATAACCGACACATATGTGGACTATGAAAAGTCAACAGATAGTGAATCAACGGTTTTCGAAGCAATTAATCCCATAAGAATATAATAATTTGGAAGGTTAAGGATCAGCCACCCCTGAAAAACTTCAATCCACCTTTGATATATCTCTGTCGTTCAGATTGTCAAACAAGAAAAAAAAAAGCAGACATTTAAAGCAAGCATAATAAGCATTAATTAAGGAATGTAAGCTTAAATTGAGACCGTTATTTAACCATGTTGAACCGTTGAGTCATCATTCCTCCCCTCAGCCAGGCCCTCTGGCTGAAGGGCTGGCTTATACTTTGGCCATTGTGTCTGCTATTAAGAGTTTTAAGATACTGTATCCCCACATATGAAAACAATTAGGGGTTAGTGGAAAATTTTTATATTCAGCAGGCCTGCTAACACATGCACATCCTCACTATGTTGACTTTCCATGACAAAAAACCTGTTCTATATGGTTACTGGAGAAATACAGCCATCTGCGGACATAATAAATGGCTTGTCTCATAATATTTTTTTTTTGTTAGGTTACTATGTTGTGGGAAGGAAGAGGAAGAGAATTATAAAGCGAGAATTCACCTTCAATACAACATATCCTTTTATTCTCAAATCAAAATACAAATATATTTTATATGTTATTGAAGACTTTAAATTATTTACGATGAATCATATGCCATAAGAGGCTGATCATAGTAGAATATAATAATAATGAATCAATAATATTAAGGTCAAAAGCTGCCTTGACGGCAATTGGCCGGTAGGGAAGAGATTATCTTCTGTTACAGTTTGTCCTTTTATTTTGAAGTCGTTACAAATTATATGTCGTATATATTTTTCTATTACAGTAGTCCCTCGGTTAACTAACACAATTCGTTCCAGAAGGTCGTTCGTTAATCGAAACCATTGTTTCAATGGGATTTTGGGTAATTGGTTCCAGCTCACCGAAAATTACATACAAACTAAAAATAAATGCAGTAACGTACACTTACTTTGAGGTGTGCATGTAGAAGGCTCCTCGTTGATGATGATGATGATGGGAATTAGAAGTGGGGGTGGAGAAGGGAGAAGAGAAGGCAGTGGGGGTGGAAGAGAAGTCACCCCATGCTTCATAACATCATTTCACCCATAAAATTTTAAGTTCACTTGGTGTAATTCAAGATTATTTTCTTTAAATCAACACTGCACTATATATTGTTAATATGTAGAATAAATTTCAGAATGACCAATAATTGTACAGTCAACCCTCGCTTTACGCGGTCCCACTTTACGCGTTTCCACGTTTACGCGGTACCCTGCCGAACATGGAATGCTCACTTTACGCAGAGAGCTGCTGGCGGTCCTCTCGCGCCGCGCCATTTTTGGATCCAAACCTCCCGCCATCCGCCATGTTGTGTAAGCGGCGCGAGTAGGTTGCGCAGTGTATGTCTTTGTTGCGTTATCGGTGACGTCATATGATGTAGCGGACTGTAATTGGGCAAAGCATCCTTCCCTGCTAGCTGTGATTGGTTTATTGTAGTACTATGACGTGCCCCGCCGCGGGAGCGTTCAAGCCCCTTGACCTACCACGTCAGTTACACCCCTCCCGGCTACACCGTGTATATCGGTATCCATTGTTCCATAAGAATGGCTTCCACCGGACCACCACCACCACCACAAAGAAACCTTGAATTACCTGGACCCAGCCGCCCTAAGCCAAAGAAGACACGACGTTCCTAAAGCTACGAAATAAAATATAAGATCATACAAGAATTGGAGAAAGGAACAAGACAGGTTGATCTTGCGCGCCAGCATGGTGTTAACGAATCAACTATCAGGACAATTAAGAAGGATGCAGTCAAGATAAAGGAGCACATGAACATCACAAAGTCTACAAGTGCTTCTATGATCAAGTATTTCCACAACCAGGTGCTTCTCAAGACAGAAAAATTACTTGTGAGCTACTTGGAGCGTAAGGCGCGACGGAACATGGCGGTGGACACGCACTCACTTAAGGAGTACGCACGTGAACTGTATTCTGCAGTGTCACGAAAGATGGGAATTACAGAGCCCAAACCCTTTAATGCTTCCTCTAGGTGGTTACAGAGGTTTAAGAAGAGGAACAAGATCACCAATATCAACATTGGTGGTGAAGAAGCTAGTGCTGACCGTGTTGCGGCTAGGGAATTTCCACCGTTTTTACGTGAGATTATGGAGGAAGGACAGTACACCGACGACCAGGTGTTTAACATGGACGAATCTGGTCTTTTTTGGAAAAAGCTACCTTCCAAGACCTTCGTTGTGAAGAATGCCAGCAAGTGTCGGGGCCGGAAGTTGCAGAAGGAGCGCATCACCTTCCTATTTACCACCAATGCCTCCGGTACCTGTAAGCTCAAGTTATCGGTGATCCACACAGCACGCAAGCCTCACGCCTACAAGAGCATGGACATGACCAAGCTAAATGCCCACTGGCTGACCACACGTAAGGCGTGGATGTTCTCTACACTGTCCCTCTCCTGGTTTGATGACTGTTTTGTTCCCAATGTGAAGAAATTCTGTGAGCAACAGAATGTGCCATTAAAGATTTTGTTGCTGCTTGACAACGCACCAGCACACTCGCCCCTACTGTTAGATCTTCACCCCAACGTAAAAGTGGTCTTCCATCCTCCCAACACTACGTCTATAATACAACCCATGGACCAAGAATTGATCTGTAATGTAAAAGCCGCATTCTTTGCTAAAAAATTCAACCTCCTGAACGACTACACCAACACCAAGGAAGAGTTGCGTAACCTGAGTGACACCAACACCGATAGCAAGAGCGAAGACGACGAGGATCAACAGTTGGCAGAGCAAGAAGTACTTTTGAAACAATTCTGGAGAACATTCAACGTCAAGAAAGCTGTGGACTTCTTGGTGGAGGCATGGGATCAGCTGTCTGTAGCAACTGTTCGTCACGCATGGAGACATGTGTTGCAAGGCATTCCGGGTGTTAGGCAGAGTAAATCTGTGACTGGTGAGGTTCAGACTGTTGCAGTAGCAGTGGACCTTGCCAGAGAAGCTGCGTAGAGTGTTACAGCTGCAGGCTTCTCCGAGACCACCAACGACGACATCCTGGAGGTGATAAGGGATCCTGATGTGACTACCGACGAGATGGTAGATGATGATGATGTCAGTGAAGAGGCAGGTGGTGCATCATCCCAAGAAGAACGCCGCTTATCCCATAGTAATGTAAGGGGTGCCATCGAGTGTATCGAGAGAGTCAAGCTCCTCCTTTCCAACGACCCTGACGCAAACATGTATGAAATCTTC